TTGCACAGTGTACAGACCATGTTGTGCGTGGTCGAACAATAGACATCCGTTCCGGTTCCTCTGATAGTTCCTCCAAGCTTCATGGCGGGCGTTCAGGTCGCCCCCAACGATGAATCGGGAGCTAGTACGGGTGATGGCGGTCAGGTCCTTCTTGAATTGGATTCCTAATCCGTTGCTTGCGGTACACTGGCGTGGGCAGTAAACAGCGATGAACCGGATGTTTCCAGTTGGTGATTCCACCTCCACACTAATGGCCTCGATGATAGAAGTGCGGATGTGGGGCAGAGTGCAAAACTTGATTCCCTTTCTGACGATGACCGCTACACCACCCCCCCTGGAGCTGATGCGATCAAGCCGGATAATGTTGTGGTCAGGCAACCAGAAGCTGTCACCGGACTTTAGGTGGGTCTCGGTTAGAAGAACCACGTCGATGCTATGCTTGCGGAGGAAGTCGGCAAGCTCAATCTGTTTTGCTCTTACAGAGCAAGCGTTCCAAGTAGCGATGGTTAGCGGTTTAGACGCCATACTGGATGATGAACTTACCGAGCACTTGGATCTGTTCGGGCTTATTGCGGCACTTACGTAGAGCACCGGTCATGTTGACGAAAATTTCCACCAGTTCATCCGCTGAAAACAGATCGGGGTTGTTGTTTTGCGCTGGTGGTTGTCTCCAGAATCCAGGGGGGGATGGAGAGCTTTGGCCAGCAGAATCACCAGAAGTTGCTTGAGCGGAATGCACCCGCGAATTTGCTTGCCTTTGCTGAGGAGCACGAAGAGGCGGGAAATCCTCCATCCGAAATGCCGGGACTTTGTCCTTCTTGCGTCCTGGTTGGTTGTTAACTGCCGCCTGTTTTCGGATGCGTTTGAAGTCCTCGCGTTTGGAGCACTGTCTGTCGGAACCTTGGTGAGCACCACCACAGTTGGCGCATTTTAACGCCACGGCTTCATCCGCAGGGCAGTCGGAAGTGGCGTGGTCTTGAGCGCAATTGCCGCAGCGTGGCTTAATGTTACAGTTGCGGGTGCCGTGTCCAAAGTTCAGACACCGTTGGCACTGAGTCACATCGCGATGGCCGCCACGGTATGGCTCCCAGCGGACGATGATGCAATTGATGGAGCGGATGGCTTTCAGCGCGTTGAGCGTCACCGTTCCCTTCTGGAAGTGTACCAGGAAAAGGCAATCCGGATACGCCTTCACATTCTCGTCTCTTCTTGTCATCCGATAGACGGCACTTGGGGCCAGCTTGTACCGGTCCCTGATTTCAGCTTCGATAAACTTCGGGTCGAAGTTTGGTAGGCCCCTGATGACGACCTTGAATGGTTTCTCACCGGGAATGTCGTGGGTGAAGAATTCCACCTTGGAAGTCCTCAGGTGGGCGACGACCAAGTCATACTCCGCTTTGGTACGGAGCACCACCTTGGTGCCGACTCTGCCCAACTTGTATTCGGCTTTAACGCCCAGCGTCGCTAGATCCGCGATGAGCTCATTAAGATGAGCATTTTTCACTACCAACGGAGGTAGCTTCACTTTTGCCGCACTCGGGCCGGCAGAATTTTCGTTGTCGATGGCGTCGCCGAAATCACCGATGTCGCTGGCGTTCGTTGCTGTGACGTCATCACGTCCACTCGCACCATCGGACTGGCCTTGGTTTTTCTTCCTCTTCTTGGATCGCTTCACCGTGGCGGAGGTGGTATTTCCAACATCGGTGGGAAGAGTAGCGTACCTATTTGAAATAGGTACACTCGTGCTACACTCACCACTGATCTTTTCCGCTTTCTCACGGAGCCTGCTCCGGGAGCGCTGTCTTCCCATCACACGATGCGACCGACACTACTGACGACGCGAATAAACGTTTGGAATAACTATCGAACAACTCGACAGAGCGAGCAAATACCGGACTGTACTGCTTGACGAACAAGCAGAGAATGACTTCAACGAGCTTAGGTACTTCATATTTATACCTGCTAACCTATCAAAATTCTCTAACCAATGAGATTCCGTTTACATACGGACTATCATGCTTCACGCTCACTCGATTCTACTCATTATTTGTTCAACTCTAACTCTATCTACTACAGTTCGCACTGACAAATAGTTCGGTTTCGCACTGGGTTGGAACTGGTTCCAACCCCGATAATAAACGAATTCGCTATTAGTGTATACACCGGCAGCCATAAGCGCGACATTAGATTGATGAATTTTATGAAAACTAATATTTAAGAGACGGGAGAATCGCTCAGCAACACCTAACACACTTACCGCTTCAACCGACTGACTACTAATGTCACGCATAATGCGAGAGCAGCAGCAGCGGCACCGCAGTCGCTTTAGTCCGCCAAATTCAAAACCACTCAAATCTGGATCAAAAATAGAAAAGGGCCCATCAGCATTTTTAAACAAACCGTTCCAAAGCGAAGGCCACCCACGCAAACCAACACCATCATCGGATAGGGGAAACTTCCACCTACACGATGATGGTGTTGGTTTGTGTGGGCGGCCTTCGATTTGTGAGGAATGGGCTTTGGAAAAGTTTGTTTACAAATGCTGATGGGCCCTTTTCTATTGTTGATTCAGAAATATACTGTTCCGTACAGTACAACTATTCTATACCTGACAAATTTAAGTGACGGTCGACCAGCAGATGGAAATTATGTGAAAAATGATAATGACGTTTTGCTACCTGTCATCATCAGTTTTTAAAATTGCAGATCTGAAAACTGGGCCAGTTTTATACCCCGCTCATATTACAGCCTATATCACATAATATAGGCTGTCTTGCAATGAGCACTCATACATAGGATTTCCAGTGAAAACTAGATGTATGAGTGCTCATTATTATTATTATTATTATTTAGCTTTATTAAGGAGGCTTTCAGCCTTGGGCTGGTTCGCCTCCAAAAAATGAGTGCTCATTGCAAGACAGCGTATAATTATCACGTGATATACGCTGTAATGTGAACGGGGTATTACCTTTGCTTAAATTCATCAATAATCAGTCGAAGTATTGCCGTTGTTTTCGTTCTATATACTACAGCTTTCTGGTTGAAACCCCGCCGAGAAAAAGCGGTGGGTGCAACTCAGTTGGTAACGCGTTCTTCGGGGGATAGCTGAATACACGGTATTTCAAAACATCTGTTGCTTGCTCCCAATGACATTTATATAAGGTCCGGGATTACAGGCAGCTTGCCCCAAGGAGGAAAAGTTACAGATAACAGTCACACTGAAAACGAAACTAGCTTAGAGAGTGTGTCACATTTACTCTTGTAAGTCACTTTTACTAATTCTTATGGAACAACTTGTTTTAGCGTACACACTAATCCAGTATGGTTTTACTAGGTTTTAAATTGCGGATCTGTTCGAGTATACGCTTTTCTAAATTTCTCCATACGAATTGAGCAAATTTAGTTCGATTCGTTTTCAGTGCACATAAGATACATTAGAACTTAAACATACGAGTATTAAAGTGACATCTTGACAAAAAAGATGAGCAACAACATTCCTTCTTTCATCTCTAAATCCACGTGTTGCTGTCTTGGCTGTCGCTGCAACAAAATCAATATACAGCTATTCATCGTCTACATCACCGAGCATAAGTGGTAAGCGGTAGCTAACATCAAGCATTTGTGGTTACAAAACTGACACATAGAGGCTCGTATACATCAACTATGAATCGTTCTAATAAGAACGTATCAGTATCAGGAATCAGGATACCAAACCGAAGACTTAATTGACATCCAATAACAGAATAAACAGAATTTCCATTTTAAACTTCTACATGGGGTAGATATACCTGCTATGGCTTACAGATTAGCATAAACAGTATGCAGAATTTACAATGTTTCACCGCATGAACATATTCTGTAATGTGGTCGTCGGAAGGATTTTTAAATAGGGTTTTGGATCTAATTTCCGTCCTACTAAGCACGACCCGCGCTTAACCTCTCATTTATGAATGGGTTTGAAAAAAAAAATGGAATATTTCTATCAAAGACGACTTCTAAATTTATTCGCCTTTCCGTATTTGATAGAGTCACAAATTGTTGAGATATTGTTTAAAATCTAATACTGCTTCTTGATTCCAAATTCGTCCTACGAGTGTCAATTCCGTCCTAACGCATTGAAACGCCATTAGATTTTCTTCGTCCTACGGATCAACGCTAGGAGCGCTTCTTTTGAAGTAATGAAAATGGGTTGTTAGCGGAATGCTTAAATAAAACAGCAAAAAAGGGGATGAGTACTTAAGGGGGTTACTTAAGGGGGTTAGATTTTGAAAAGTTCTTTAGTGGGAATGACACTGATGAAGACTGCACATTGTAGTCGAAATACGTATCTGTCATGGAAACCAAAATTAATTAAGTGGAATTAAATGGAAAATAACCTTCTTTTGTTTTGAGAACAATAAGCGTAAATATTCATACAATGCGCTCTAATAGGATTTATGTTGGAGCTAATGAACTAACGCATCGGAACAAACTTATTATTGATTTGTGCAAGGTGAAATCATTGATATTATTGATCTTCTCTGATCGATAGAACGGAAATGGGCGACGAAATAGCGCTCTACCCTAATGTTGTAATTTTAATACCGTTGAACCCACGTTATATGAACGACACTTCGTGCGGGATTCAAACTAAAAAGTGTTCAGATCAATAACGGTCAGATATCCAGGGGTTCACGGTACTAGGAAAATTTTCGAACAAAAGCTTATTTCCCCAAATGTGGCTAGAAAATCATCTCGAAAATATTTATTTTTTATTTTATTTTTTTTTTTTAATCTTTATTTTAAAGATTTTTAGCCTAAGGCTAGTTCATCACTTATTATACGAAAATATTCATTCTGGCAAAACTTTTTTGTACGCTACTGACGCCATTGTATGAGCTGCCATTATATCTATATCTACCCTATGCAACTGCTACAGTGCCTGTTCAGCTAAAAACCTCGAATAAGCAGGTTGATCGTCAAATAACATCTCTCCATTTAACTTATCCAAAATTAAAAAAAAAACACACACACACAAGACTGTGTGAACTTTGGAATGGTAAACAAGCATCAGATACAAATTCATTTAATTTCATTACTCGCATAAATAACAAGGTTTCTGTTAAATTCATTCTTTTCCTCTGTGGTACAAATTACGCTAAATCCCTTGGAAATCACATAATCCCCAATCGATTGCTCCAGTGCCCCGTTACTTCCTCTCCATTCTAAGCCATTGTAAAGTTCATAGTCTTCTCCACCGGCCCGCCGCATTCTCCGCACATGATCGCGATACTTTTTCCAACTTTGCAGCTCCAAAATCAAAATCCTTGCACGTGAGCAAACGTAGTCTAGCACTTTTTTCAAACCATCATCGCCGTGGTTCAAATGAATGTACATCAAAACAGAGAAGCAGCTTATAAAATCAAACCGCTGAATGCCTTTCGATGCCATGTATTTTTGGATTGGATCGTCGATTCCTTTCATGGCTACCGCACTAAGGTCGGCTTGAATAAATTCAAGATACTCAGATTTATAAGCTGCGGAAGCTTTGTTGACCAGTTCGGCATCAATATCAACACCCACAGCGAAAGATGTCTTCTTTTGCTCCTTTAGAACAGATAACATCACTTCACTTATCGAGTGAGTTAACTTTCCATCGTTACAACCGATGTCCAGCATATAAATTTCATTCGTTGCTTTAAGCTTCTTCAAACACTTCGGAAGGCACCTTTCTAAATGCTCTGGTCGACTATCCTGGCTGCGAAACTCGTAATACTGTTGGTAATTGCCGTGGCGGATTGCATCGTTTGGTACCTTAAAGTAATAACATTATCAAATTGTCTCGTTTTGTGAGGTTCGATTAAATTACCTCCATAATCTTCCTTTTCTTATTAGGTGACTCAGACATATTTCATCGGAAAATATATGTACTCAGATAAATAAGCGGTCAACGTTTGGAAGCACTTCAGGTTTATTTTGGTTCCTCATTGACGAGTGCACGGATGGATTTGAGTTCACTCACTCGACAAAAAGTGACACAACAGCGGGGCCCTGTTTACTAAAAATGAACACATATGTGTTCATTTTTAGTAAACAGGGCCCCGCTGTTGTGTCACTTTTTGTCGAGTGAGTGAACTCAAATCCATCCGTGCACTCGTCAATTGAATTATTCAATAGAGATTGCTGACGTTTGTCGTACGTAGTGTGCGTCACGTATACGTATACGCAAAATGTTTTCATCGGGAAAAAAAACTTCATAGCTGAAAATTTTCCCGATGAAAACAAATCACTTACACAATCATACTTTAGCAATCTCTATGAGGAACCAAAATAAACCTGAAGTGCTTCCAAACGTCAGTTTTTTTTTAAAGATGTCATCAAGGATGGAAATTTAATATGGACCAACAGGTCTGTGCCATAAAAAGGGAGAAGGATGGAAATTCATACCCAAATTGAAAATCAGATGGTGCTAGTGAACGACAGTAGGCTTTATCAACTCAGGTATAGCACAGAAAACAGATGTCCAACTTCAGTCAGAAACTTGTGTAAACATAAGTGGGAACATCGCCGTTACGTAGCGCTATTATTATTATTATTATTTATCTTTATTAGGGAGGCTTTCAGCCTTAGGCTGGTTCGCCTCCACGCGTAGCGCTAGCATCTCCTGATTTCCTTTATAAATTTCCCTCATTCGACCAATTTGGCGCTAGTATCGATAAATTTTCTATTGAATATTGCCACGTGGCACTACCAGCACTTAGTGTCTAGTGTAAGTTGTTCAACGCCAGCGCCATCAGGTTGTCAATAGGAGTTTTTTAAGTAGGGAAGTCGCCGTTAGTAGCGCTGAAGTCAAATAGGAATCTTTACACTAGTTTTTAGAGAAATTTTGTTCGAGTATCAACGTCTGTTCTCTATGGGTATAGGTAAAACGTAAAATTGTGTGCAATTATTCCAAATAATTTCAAATACTCATTTCAGATATAATTTTTTTTTTTTCGGAATTTTGGCATCATTAGATCACAGAATTAATTATCTTTATTAGGGAGGCTTTCAGCCTTGGGCTGGTTCGCCTCTATTAGATCACAGACAAACAGATATAACTCTCACAATCACATACTTCACAAATAAGATTTTAGCAGGGAATGTGTTCGCATTTGTTTTGGTGGTGCCACTGAAGCATTTAGAACTTGGTCAATTTAGTAGATGTCAGCTCTTGAAAATGATAAGCATTCATCTTTGATAAGACTGAACACATACCACTTACTAATCGAATGAATACAGAGTTGATGAATATTGTTGTGTAATTATTAGAAGGCTATTTTTATGACATTTTACTTGTAGAAAATTATTATAACACCCTTGAAACACTGTATTCTGCGCAAGAAATTACCAGACAGTCACTGCAACATATATTATATGAGTGTCAAAATATTATGCACCCAGCACAGACAAACAGACATAACACTCGTAAGTTGTTCATCGAACAAGCATTTAACGAACAATTTAAAAGTATCGTAGTTGGTAGTACCGCCACCTGTGGCGCGCATAGTCAATTCCCTTGCGTATGACGTTTACACACTACCGCCATCTGTTCAACGTAGTGCCCACCACTGTGTACTCAATAGATGGCGGTAATGTTTTACTGACGATGTTTTACAGTGAGAAATATTCAATGTGTTATGTCTGTTTGTCTGTGCACCCAGTCTAATATATGCAGTTATGTTATAAATCTCTAGTACCCCGTACATACTACGACTTATATCATGTAATATAGGCTGTCTTGCAATGAGCACTCATACATTTAATTTTCACAGGAAATCCTATGTATGAGTGCTCATTACAAGACAGCCTATATTACATGATATAATACCCCGTTCACATTACAGCGTATATCACGTGATATACGCTGTCTTGCAATGAGCACTTATACATCTAGTTTTCACAGGAAATTCTATGCATGAGTGCTCATTGCAAGACAGCCTATATTACGTGATATAGGCTGTAATGTGAACGGGGTATAAGCCATAGTCTGTACGGGGTATAAGCTACGTCTCTCCCGATTAAAAAATGCTACTCCCGTCATAACATCGTGCACTACTCGATTGTGCTATACATAAGCAAGTAGCACCTGAGCTATTCAACTACTCTCCCCTAAATATGAAATCTCTCTCTCCTTACCCAACAAACTCTTATAAAACACCTGAGTTGATCAAACGTTGAATAATAGCTTCCAGAGTTGAACAAGTATGTAGTTGTATTGCCTTTTTGGTTAAAAGTTTTAAAAGCTGTTGGAGCACTCTTAAATGATTGTTTACGTTCGGTTTAACTATATGCTTTATAAGACCTACGATAACTTTTATAGCACCTTAGTTAAACTGATTCACAAGAGCTATACAGAACGTGGAATAAACGCATCAAAACAAACAATTGGGAGCTCTTATAAAAAACCTGAGTTGATCAAACGTTGAATAATAGCTTCCAGAGTTGTACAAGAATGTAGTTGTATTGCCTTTTTGGTTAAACGCTTCAAAAACTGCTTGGAGCACTCTTAAATGATTGTTTACGTTCGGTTAAACTGTTTGACAGGAGCCATATAGGATGTGGAATAAACGCATCAAAACAAACAATTGGGAGCTCTTATAAAACACCTGAGTTGATCAAACGTTGAATAATAGCTTCCAGAGTTGTACAAGAATGTAGTTGTATTGCCTTTTTGGTTAAACGCTTCAAAAGCTGCTTGGAGCACTCTTAAATGATTGTTTACGTTCGACCAACCACCAACCACAATTTTGTTGCTAAAAATAGCACAAGTGATAGGCACGTTTATATGACCATAAGGCAATGATTATTCGACTGCAAGAGAAGACACTCAAGATGAGCTTCATATACTTCTCTCATATGATCAAAATAAGTATTCAAGAATAGAGCAGATGGAAACAGAAGCGGCTGGCAATCCGGGATCATGAGTTCGAATCTTGCTTCGAGAAAACCCTCGGTGGAGTAGAGGTAAATTATATATAGGTGTTATTAATAAATGCAAACATTAATTTAAGACATATAGCATATAATCAACGATAACATTTCTAGATAAATTCTCTCAATTAATGATTAGAGAGATTAATTGAAAGAATATCAATCAAAGATTAAACAGATGCTTGTTACTACTTCCTCCATGTTCACAGATTCACATTCACATTATGGCATAATTACATATTTTTTCAATGTGCACAAATAAATTAAATTAATAAAAACTGTACAAGCAATTATTTTGGCGTACCACGACAATTGTTAAACTAATTTTAATCTGTGAATATTGTGAGTACTTACACAACGGTTATTAAGGAGTCATTAAAAAGTGCTATAAACGCTTTTCACCGCTTGCTGTATAGTGATTATTTAGGAGTCATAAAAGAGTGTAACAAACGCCTCTCAGGTTCAATCTCTAATACATTTCGAAGCAGCTGTTAGGAGGTGTCTACAAACTTTGTATTAGAGCTTTCACCAAAACAATAAAGCTTGAGTTTAAATATGTATCTATAAACGTTGTATAAAAGTTGCTTCTATCCGGTTGTTAAGGAGTCATTGAAAAGTGCTATAAACGCTTTTCACCGCTTGCTGTACAATGATTATTTAGGAGTCATAAAAGAGTGCAACAAACGCCTCTCAGGTTTCCTCTCTACTAAATTTCAAAGCAACTGTCAAGAAGTGTCTACAAACGTTGTATAAGAGCTTTCACCAAAATAATAAAGCTTGAGTTTAAATATGTATCTATAAACGTTGTATAAAGGTTGCTTCTACTCCTATACCGCGTATACATATAATGCTGTAGTTGAACAGGTTCTCCAAACCAGTGTAAACAAGAGTTTTACAGAAGTTGTAATAAACAAATTGTGCAGTTATTATTCAGCATGCAGTTGAATAAAATCACAATGGAAGCGTTTCTTCAACAAGAAATTGATTTTGGGTAAACGTTTTACTGAATACGTTAGACAACACCTTTGTGTTGCAGTTGTATAGGTTCTCCAAACCAGTGTAAACAAGGGTTTTATAAAAGTTGTGGTGAACACATTGTGCAATTATTATTCAACATGCAGCTGAACAAAATCAAAACGAAAGCGTTTCTTCAACTGGAAATTGTTACTTGGGTAGTCTCTTTCTCCTTCCAAATATAAGGGACGCGCTCCCTTATTTTAGAGTAGCATCAGTGGTTTTTGCACCACTCTGAGTTTTTAGTCGTTCCCTGGTTACAATACATCATTATTCGCCTTGACACCAGTCCGGAATTGACGTTTCTTCACACACATTTTGACAGTTCCTTAAGGGGTTTTGCGTTGGAGTGAGAGAATACGAAAAAGTCCGCCATGTTTCACACATAGACTGACAGTTACATATGAGATTTCTCCATAGGAGTAAAGAGTTACAGAGCTCTCGTCAACGCCAATGAGTAGAATTGATTGATACATATTGGGACTTATTACGGGTGTCACTTCACGGTGTTGATCACAGAATCAATCTGAGCATTCCAATCAACTTGGAATCCAATATATCTCCTAGGTATTTGACCTTTTCACTAAGATGGTTCTGTTGTCCTCCAAGATTGAACTCCTTTAGGTTGAACTTCCTCTTTCTACTTTTGACGGATTAATGTTTAGGCCCTCCTTAATATACCAAGATTAGGTAAACTTTGAAACCTGTTGCATTCTTTCTGAAACGATAGCGTCAATCTTTCCTCTTACTAACATGACTATATCATCCGCAAAGCCCACAACCTCGAAACCTTTCGCCTCTAGGCTTCTTCGAAGATCATCTACAACTAAAAACCACATCGGTGGTCAAAGGACTCCTCCTTGAGGACAACCTTTCGTTGCTTTTACTGTTATACATGAGCTTCCCAGCCCAGAAGTGATTTTTCTTTTTGCAAGCATAGTATGAATCCAGTTGAGGAGTTCTCTATTTGTCGTGAAAATATCATCACCTATATCTAGTGTAGCGTTTTATGTTCTCTGAAACACTGGAAAGGTCCTCCATCATGACATTTAAGATTATCAAGTTCAATCGTCTGTTCACCATGGAGGCGCGGCTCGAGCAGCGTCTGACTGGCATCCAGAGGCTGAATAAGAAATGCTCTTCCCCTGATGCTACACCTAAGATGGCAGCCCCATCACGGCGGATAGGAGACCTTAAGCTAACCACCTACTGTCTCTGAAGACAAGGAAGTATACTATCCCGCTACTGTTCCTCATCGTAATCGACGAGATCATGGTGGGTGCAATTGACCGTGTACTGAACATTGGGCTGCTTTGGCAGCCTATTACCATGGAGCATCTCAACGACTTCAATTTGGCTAATGACGTTGCTCAACGGCGCTCTGATATGCAGAGTAAGCTCAATGACCTAGCCGAATGCTAATCTGCGATGGGTCTCACCATCAACGTCTTCTTTCTTCTTATTCGCATTTCAAGCTTATTGCTTAGCGCATATTAGCTTAATGCGTGCTCTCAACTTAGTGTTCTAAATGCACTTCCACAGTTATTAATTGAGAGCTTTCGATGCCAATTACCAATGCATGAATTTGTATATTGTGTGGCAAGCACAATGATACTCTATGCCCAGGGAAGTCAAGAAAATTTCCAGCCCGAAAGATTCCCTCGACCGGACCGGGAATCGAACCCGCCACCTCCGGCTTGGTAATACCGTGCCTTTACTGACTAGGCTATGAGGCCCCACCACCATCAACGTCAAAAAGACCAAATCGTTGGATGTCAATACGGGCAATGCTTCCATCTTTACGGTAGCGGGGCAAGCAGTGGAGAAGGTCGAAAGTTTCCAATATAGTGGCAGCCAAATAGGGTTGGACGGCGGGACCAAGAGCGACATAAGTGCACGAATCAAGAAGGCTAGGGCTGCCTTTGCGAGTTTACGAAACGTATGGAGATCGAACCAGATAAGTCAACGCACCAAAATCCGAATTTTCAACTCGAACGTGAAATCTGTGTTGTTATACGCCAGCGAGATGTGGTGTGTATCAACGGAGAACACTCAGAAGCTGCAGTTCTTCATCAACCGTTGCCTGCGGTATATAATTCGTGGCTGGTGGCCTCACAACTGGATTTCGAATGCCAAGCTCCATCGTCGATGTCATCAGAAGCCGGTAGCAACAAAAATTCGAGAGCGAAAGTGGAGGTGGGTCGGCCACACACTTCGACGGGGCGGAAACGAAATCTGCAAGCAAGCGCTGGATTGGAATCCTGTAGGACATCGCAGCAGAGGGAGACCCAGGGGACCATGGCGGTGGAGCCTCAATAAGGAAATAAAGCAATTCGATAGGAATCTGACCTGGGCCAAGGCAAAAGCGAGCAGCCGCCCAGGATGGAAGTCTTTCACGTTTCACGTCAATCGTATGGTCAAGACCACTGATATTTTTTCATTCATTATTTGCAACTGCCTGTAACACTTGTAGGTGTTCACACTCTCCACAATCAAAAGGGTTGTATGTTTGGCTCTACTATTTGACAGTCCGTTTGGCTACGCTGGATTCTACAGACTGTATAGTAAACATAGCATGGCAATAGTGAATCCAGCGGAGCCAAAAGGGTATCTAAAAGTGGAGCCAAGCGGACAAACGCATCGATTGTGGAGAGTGTTGAAATCACTAAGCATTATATCAATAAGCAAAGAATCAGAGATTTGTAGCTTATGTTTTCAGAGAAATTATCCAATAAATAAATTAGGCATAGGTAATAGGTAAATAAATTTAGGTAGTTATGAAACGTCGCTAGAACTATTCCACAGCCGCAGTCAGTTATGAGCAGAAAGAGGACGCACATCTTTTGCCTGTAGACTTGAAGACATACTTCAAGTCTCCGCGTACATCGTACGGGTTAGGCAAAAGATGTGCGTCTGACTTTAAAAAACTGTCGCATTGATGGCCCTTCGCTCAATTTCAACTTCTATTCAATTTTCATACTGCCGTACTCTAACGGAACTATCCACCTACCCTCTTCTAAAGATCATTCTCTACACGCAGAAAAATGGATTTTTGTTTCAGGGCCTAATGTATTTTGTTCTTGATTCAAACATATTGTATCACTATTTCAACAATACATATTTTTGAATCAACAAAATAGTTTTTAGAATCAACAAACAGATTATTAACTCTACAACCGGTTTGTTGATTCAAAAATATTTTTCTTTGAATTAACCGAATAATATATTTGAATCTATGCCAAAAATATATTAGGCCCTGAGCCAAAAATATATCCATTTGAATTTAAGAATCATTTCTCTGCGTGTAGCTAATAAATTATCACACTAAAGCCTTATGTTAGCATTTCCAACCAACTCTGAATAAATAAATGATTTAATATGATTTCTTGTAGAGTCCACAAATGGCCACCACGTAGACTATGCATGCACTTCCACTTCGAATTTTCAATTACAAACATCTCGGAAATCAATGACCCATTTCACCTGAAATTGCTACTTCATGTATGCTGCAGTACAGCAAACGTAGTGTAACAGTTTCTTTGTGGTACGTATCGTAGAAGCTGATATTTGTGCACTTAAAGTTCCGAAGTGGTTAAGAGAATAATGATCTCACAGCAAAACACCTTAAAAGTAATCTTTTGAATAGACACGTAATTTTGAACTAAATTATCAATAAAAAAAATTAGCTTGTTTTATTTTTGAGGAACAAGGAATAAAAGGCAAAAAAAATGTAATTTTATGTGTGAACACTTGCAATTGCAGTTGCAGATAATGAAAAGAATCTGTATAGCAAACAGCAAAAGCATGCTCCCGTAATTGCAGCATCATATTATTATCTTAGTATCACGGAATTTCTAAAAGCCATTCTATGTTTTCTAAACCGTCTGTAATGGATTCGTCTTGACCAGTTTGTTTTTACTATACCGTCTGTATTCCGAACTAGCAAAGACTTCATTCTCTTAACTCCATTTATTGATAAAAAAAAATTATTTTTTGGTTGATTTTATTGATTGCTTTCGTGTAACGGTCATTTAAAATTCTACCGAGCTGAAACGGTGAACAGAATTCAGTGTGTAGGTCATTGGTGGTGCCAGTTATTCGAATACCATTATTCACCGAAATCTAGGCACTAAGGTCACACTTCCGAACTTTTTTAAAAGTTAATATTCAATCCTTACTATAATCATAATATAAAATATAAATATTATGATGATCCTATAGTTCATGTTCATTAAAAATAAGTATTGGGTCGCAAAAGTGAATATAGATATTGCATAAAAAAGGAAATGTGTGGCCTATGAGAAATAAAAGATATCTATAAACATTTAGACAGATTCTTCGCCTTCCATGAAATGCAGAAGCTCGAATATTTCGGATGAAGCAAATTTAATCAATCGTTTAATTTTTATGGTTTTATTTACTTTTGTAAAAATCATATCCGTTTTACATTGTACAGTCTAACTTAGAACAATAAAAAAATAGTTGAAAACGATATTCAATCGCGTAAAATAAATAAAAATAATTTCGTTTTAATAAATAATCAATCTCGAGATAAACTATTCTTACGGCTTTCGTTTAACCTAAAGTTCTTCATAAATAATGAAACATCACTTAAAGCACGTGCAGTCAAAAGAAAACGTACCATTTTCTCCTACACATAAAATTTACGATAAGCAACTTTTCTTTCTGTTTTGCTACAATTCGAAGTGAACTAGAACAAAACGGGAAAATCTTGGTGAGCATGCTCCAAGTGTAAGGAAAACCAAGGAAAAATAGAACTCCAATCAAAGTAAACCATTCCGCGGTATGCGTGCTTGTTTTCCGTCTTTCTTTTTTCAACTCATATCTTTCTTATCCTCAATTTCCCATTCTCTTGCTAAACGTTCACCCTCTTATGTTATACTGTTTTTAAATCTTTTTTTTTTTCACTAAGTCCGGCAAGATTTTTTTTTGTTCAATTTTTACTTTTTTTTCATTTCTAATTCTTATACGATACAAACTAGAAGCTAATGGAATGTTCATCTTTATTTATTTTTTCCTTCCTTCTCTGTGTGAGTGTTTGTGTTCTTCTGTTGTTGCTGGTTTGCGTGTGTCAGTGTGTTTTCTTTGTTTGTTTTTTTTTCGTTAAGGTTAAGAGCTGTTTTGGTTTAGAAATTATAAAAAGAACAAGGACTATGTACATCGCTTCCGGCTTGTTTGTTGTCGTTTAATTTGCTATCTCTTCTTCTGCGTTTCCTACGAGCTGTATCTCCAACGTACAGAATTTTCGTTTCCGTCTGTATGAATGTTTGTATATTTTCTTAATTCTTCTTGTGTTAAGTGAGAGTCTAGTTTGTATGGTAAAACATTGTTTTCATTTTTTTTTCGCTACGTTTCTTATATTTAACGGTGTTGTTCTTATTCTTACCTCTTTCCATGTTCAGATTTCACATGTATTTGAAAATCAATTAAAACGCTGCTACGTACGTTTTCGCGCTGTTTCCACCATTATTACTGAAACCAGTTTGCACTTATTCGAAGAGCAGTTGGATCTACTTATGAGTGTTCAACTTTGATTTGGATTAAAGAGATCAGATTTACTGTTACTTTGAACAACTTTAAATAAAGGAGCAAAAGGCAAACAAAAAGTTTCATCCTTCCTAGAAAACAACATTTACAGAAGAAGCATCGCCTACTGTTTGTCGTTGAGTGGGAAAGACTATGAGATGATTTCAAATTGGTTCGCCACAGTAGGCGACTATGGCACAGCAAAATAGATCAAACCGAATGCTGCACACGTCTGAAGGAAATCAACCGGAAAAGGAATCGACTGAGTTTGGAAATCTGTTTCATTGAAATACTGCTTTGTTCAACTTTTCTTACGGTGACAGTTTCAGTATTCTTATTCTTCTTTCTCTGCTATACCGTCATTTGTTTCACTTACAAATGAGGACACTCCTTGCTTCGTTACTTTGATTTTCGTTAAGATTTATTCCCTTCTGATAAGAATTATAAGATTTATAATAAGAACTATCAACAGGATTTATATACTTATGTACTCGAAAAATTGTTCTAGTTATGCGTACGGTTGACGAAACTGCTAGACGCGAAACGTACTCAAACTGTCAGGTAGAAATAGATGCTGTGTTTACAAACTAAAATCGTAAATAAACAATCTTTGGAATGTACATCCGCACATAAATTATAAGATGCAATAGTCAGACTTTTCTCGTGCATAAATTGGTTCCTCTTACAAGCAAACTTAGTAGAATGAAACGGAAAAAATAGAATCACTGTTAAACAAAAATTAACAAGCATAAGCAGCATTCCAGAAGAATGTTTCTCTAATCTAGAAAAAAAAAAAGAATTAAATGCATCTCATCGATTCGATTCAATTGCAGCTATAACTCAAACGTAAATGGCTAATCTCATTGATTTTTTTTCTCATCTGTTTAATTATTCATCCTTAATCGACTATTCTCTACTAGAGTGTACTGCTTTTTCCTTTGCTTACAACTACTTCGCTTAAAATAAGATTTGATCTTAAGTAAAATAATCATTAAACTAATATATGTTATGCTTTCTGTGTGTGTGTGTTTTTGTATTCTTCTTTTCTTTACGCCTCCTATCAACGACGATTCCCGCCTAAGTGTGTATGTTGTGTTTGTTGCACCAGAATTCTTCAATCCTTCCATCCACTCGTGTTCTAATTAGTTATTAATTACTTACTTACAATTCAATAACATATCCAGTTTCGAATTTCCACCATTGCGCGTTCCGTGTGAATTTCATCGCTGCCTTTGCCTTTACTAGTTTAGAATGAATGTTTCCCGGTGGGAGGACACAACCTCGACCTGAAACCAAACCGGGTGTTCCCCCCAGCCGAATTGGATTTAAATTTCATTTTATAAATTATCTTACTTATTTCCTCAATTATTATTATGTGTATTCCTTTCTTCCTTTTTCTTGTTGTATATATTTGTGAATATTGTTGGTTTCAAGAACATTAAATATTGATATTATTCCTACTTGTGTTTTTCACGTTTTTTTTTTCTTTTGTTTTTTTGTATTCGTAACATTTTTCTTCTTCATTCAATTAGTTTTTTTTTCTTCGATTTCTTGATTTCTCATCGCTATGGTTACGTTTGAGTGTGTTGTGTTTGAGAAAGTTGCTTCCTTGGAATGTGCCGTGAAAAAGAGTTTGAATGCATGTGAGATCTAATGAAAAGGGTTGCTTTGTTTTCTCGATAATCGTAGATTTTTTTTTGTGTGAGATTGTATGTGTGAATTCATGTATATTTTTGATGGTGCTTGTTTTCTTCCATTGTTAATCTAGTGGGCGTGTGAGTGTGTACCGATATCCTAGATACGAACTTGGTTGCTTTGCTTAAAAACCTTCACTTGTGGTGATACACTTGCTTGTTTTATTGTATTTGATTTTACTTGTGACCTAGAAAACAAGAATTCGATTTAAACGAAAGTTCAGATCCCGTGTTGAAAGTTTGAACTATCTTTGCATGAGATTTGATGATAGTGTGCCTAGTTTATAGACACACCAAACTTTGCAATGAAAGAGTTTTGACAATCTAAATCCAACTGCGGTGAGAATAACATTAATTTTACATCCGGTTTCGAAGGGATGACTCTGACGATGTCTTTAAAATGAGACCAATAACGTTAAACTCTTAACATAATCAAGTTTGAAAAAAATCCTAAAATTTTAACGGAAATCTCTACTGATTAACTTGTAATGTAGGTTTTCTAAAGAAGAGAAAACGAACAACAGAACTAATCTCGTGCAAATATCTTCCAAATTTTCAATTCTCCGGGACCAAAACAACGGTCATCTTGACTACCGTTTTCCTTCGTTTGTAACCGTTGCATTTTCTTTGCTAAAATTATCATCACGAAAACAACGTGCCTGAATTGTATTTGATTTTCCTAGAATTGTTTTACCGTTGGTTGTTCTTCCCACCCGAGCTTCCCTTCTAGAAGCTTCTTCGTCAGTTTGCTTAATTCACAACTGATTGCTGCTTGCTCCGTCATACTCTTTATTTATGTAAATTTCTACTTTAATCACAATCATTCCAATTTTTTACATAACTATTATAAAAGTCTTTAACACGTGTGTTTGTTTTACCTTTATCTTATGTTCGCGAATCGATCTCTGCTTAGCGTGCGATTTTCATTTGTCATTAAAATTCTCATTAAGGATAAGTTAATGATCATTTAGTAGGTTAATTCTTTGCCGTGTCAGCTTCATCCTGCTCCGGAGGAAAATCTAGAACCATTCTCTTCCTCCAATCATTTCATTTCTCCGTTAATTAGATATTGCTATAGTTATTGAATAAGTCGAGTCTTTTCATTCTATGAGCACGCCATCACGATCATATTCTTCCCTAACACACCTTTGAGCCACTAATCAGCAAGAACTTTCCAGCTCGTTCACCCTAACATCATTATCGCTTTGTTGCTGCCGCTTCCGCCATTCGTAGAATTCTTCCTTCATTGCCTCTACCCGAGCATCGATATTATCGTACCGTGATTGACCCCGTTTTCGACCACCGATGGTGATTCCTCCCGGTCCAGCTCCACTCAACGACAGCCCAGCAGCATTCCACAGTAGGTCACTTGATGTCGACGGAAGTGTCATAAGGTGGTGGAAATCATCCCTCATAATACCAGTCGGAGTAGATGCCGTAGGCGTTGGCGTAGATGGGTCAAACTCGTAGTGACCGTCAACGCTCCCCACGTCACCAGCGTTGTTGATGTTAGCCTTCTCAGAGGCAATGTTCAGTCTTGTTATAAGCTCCAACCAATGGGACATCGAATAGGGTGGATGATCGAACCTTCCACCACCGAAGGACAGAGGCGCCGAATGGTGAAGACTCGGAGGAGGAGGTGGTGGTCGATACGGAGGAAGATAGCGCCATTCTCTCAACAAGTTGTTGCTGACATGGAAACTGGAAGTCTGCTGAGTATTGCTGGAAGTATTTTTACTTCCAAATCCACTCGAACTCGAATAGCTCTGTGGAGAAGCCTCCAGTGCTGCACTGAGTGGTGTTGTGCTGAGATTCAGATTCAGCATTGGGGATCGTAGTTCTGGTATCGTTCTCGTTAGACTCCTCGGCATCAACCGAGGATGATAACGAGAGAACTTTGGCCGACTGCCGTACGTATGACTGTGGAAGGGCACATTCTGGTACAGATTTTGATGATAATGCCTGGACGTTGGAACGTGCACTGGGATAAAACCATGCGACAAATGTCGTGAACTGTTGTGTAAACTACTCAGCACCGGTAGTTCGTGATTGTAGCCGGAGTAATTGTAACGATGTGCTGATGCAGCACTTTGCGGAGTCGGGAACGACCGCTCCGCTGAACTTAGATGATGAACCGAACTGAGATCACTGAAATACAACGGCGACCAGGGCGAGTTTACGACCTGTGGACTGGAGGTTGCCGGTGAACTGGCAATCACCTTCGATATTCTTGAAGGAGTCGTATACAACGACTGCGTCACCATCGGAGCAGGTACACTGGAACTTATAGTAGTAAGATGGAGATTCTCCGGCAGTGTGTTGGTGTACAGCGATTGAGGTGGCTGCTGCGGCTCAGCCGCATGAAAACCATCCTCCGACCGCAGACTCAACTGACTCGGACAAGTCACCAACGGTCGCCTCCACGATGCCCGGCCAGTCAGCGACAATCGCTTTGGCAGAAAACCTCCATCGTCACTACTGCTGTAGCACGAAACTATGCTATTTCTCAACGAAATGATCCCATCGACCGCATCCTGAGGCACGACAAACCTTCCATCCGGCGAACGATGAATTTCCCCGAGGTTCCTGCCCTGCTCACCGCTAAATTTGTTCGAATAAATACTATCACAGTTCTGACATCGTCCCGGAGGCCAAACCCAGTGCAAAATGGCGACCAGGATGTTCAAGCCGGGTAGTCTGCTTTTGCTTTCTCCATGTAGATATCTGTAAAACACGAAGCATATTACTCAAATCGCACATTTCATCCAGAATCAACAAGTCAGAAAAGTTACCTTTAGTTCTAACTTTGCAAGAACAAGTCAGTAAAGGTAGCATGGATCGAAAGAAGATAAACCGATAATGTTAGTATCAACTACCACGTTGGAAAGAAGTTAGTTTTAAGTCAGAAAATTAGTCAGTTGAACTCACCTCCTCAAAGGCACCGGCTGCCTTAGGGCGTTCCGATCCGTGATCCGTGCTGTTACCATGTTGAGTTCTGTAATCGGATAATTTCTACACATTAACGGGGGTGGTAATATCGAGCCATTCTTTTTCCCCGTTGCGGTTGGTCTCCCCCGGAGCGGGACAATCGCAAACAGGACAAGAAGAATGATTGGGCTCATTTCACAAAAGTGGAAACGATGGGACGGCACTCATCAAGGCGTATACCCACATTCTCGCAATGGACTGCGCATCATTTTTTTTTTTCTGGACTGTTTTTTTCTTTTGTTTGTATGTGCAGAGCGATTGGATGAACTTACCTGGGTATACGATTTATGTGGAATGAGTGATAAATGAATTTAAAGTAAGAATATAACAAACTATCAAAAATATACGATCAAATCAACTATGAATCCTATGAAACTACCCCGAGTAGTCCATTTCTCCAAATATTTAGTCCGTTCCCCGAATTGGAATCAACTTGAATTTAAGATTCACATCAAAAAAATTATTGAATAATTCCATAAAACAATACCGTATTAAATACACATGTTAATTAAACATACACAAACAAATTAAAATAATGCAACCATACAAAACGATAAATTTCAACAATGTGACATACCAACTAAAGTTACAAACTAAAGACCACAACAATCTACCGAATGTTAGTATGGGAAAAGCTCGTGTTAATCATCTGTCACCGGATAGTAAAAGTATACACCCTGACTACGGCACACCTGTCACCTCGGACGCCAAGCGCGCTCACCTTTTTCCTGTTTTCTACGTTTACGCTTATTGCAAATCTTGACGGCACATATCGACAGGATGATGGCCACGATGAAGAACAGTATTCCGCCGACCACACCGGCCGTAATGGCTTTATGCTTTACCCGTGCCGGCACGGGGAACTTGATCTCCTCACTGGTTTCGTAGCTCTTGAGCGAGTTGGCCAACACCCGGAAGTAGTAGGTTCGCCCACCGACCAGATTCTTCACCAGATAGGACGTTTCCTCCGGCCGAATCTGGCCTCGGTTGAGCGTTTTCCACTGGGCATCGGTGCGGTATTTGATCGTGTAGAACTGCACCAGATGGGGTCGTTCGAGTGGAACCTGCCACGAGATGAGAAACCCGTTCGGGATCTCCAACACGCTTACATTTCGTGGTTGACCCGGTTTTGGACCTGGTAGCAGACAAAATTCATAGGATTAGAAAAAGAAACTCCCCAATTGTAATCGAAACAGCAAAAGCGTGGCATGCAATGAGGATGAATGTAAATTGCTGAGAATGTGCTGGTTAAACATAGGAATGAATGTAAACGAAATACCTGTTGGTCGAAAAACGGGAGGAAAAAATGTTGAACCGCTCGAATCGGTCGGAAACAATATATTGTGATAATTTAGAATGTCTGCAAACACAATAAGAAACGAAACAAGCCAATGGTGAATGTGTGATTGTGGGTGTAAGTGTTTTGGGTATATGAAAATGTTCGTTAACTTAAAAAAAAGAGATTTTTGTGAAATGAGAGCTGCAAGCACCTAAAATCTATCACTTCTAGGCATTCCAAGGGGACATGACTCCTTACCCAAGTCATCCGAAGCGTGTATGAATTCTTTTTCGTTAGGTGCTGCTGTCGTGGTCGATGTTTTCTTCGGTTTTTGGACATCTTTGTATGTTTGAAGAACAGATTACAAATAATTTTTACCATTATTAAAGGATATTCTTGTTGAATGTTGAAACAAAAAATTAAATACTATCACAAGCAATCAACTCACCTAGCGTCCGAATGGTTATCACCTTGCTCATCATACCATCACCTAGGGCATTCTTTCCTATCACCTGGAATTCGTACGTCGTTGCAGGAGACAGTCGATTAATCGTCACCTGAGTACTCCCGGACGGAGTCACCGGGATCGTCGACCAATCCGACACTCCGGATTCCCGATACCAGATGGTATAGTCCTGCTTGTAGTCAGGGCCACCACTGTACCCGGGCATCCAGGAGAGCGTCACCGAAAACTCTGTGGCCGTCCCGCTCAGATTATACGGAGCGTGCGGTTGAGTGCCTTCGATCACCAGTTGGGTAGCAGACACAATCGTGGCTACCTCGTTCGATGCTACGCACTGATAGTAGCCAAAGTCTGACCGCCGAAGGTTCTCGATCGTGATGTTTCCGTTCAAGATCCGAACCCGGTTCTTCTGGAGGGGTTGCCCATCGCGCCGTTGCCAGGTGATTGCTGGCTTGGTAGTTCCTTCCGCTTCCTGGGCATCACAGTGCATCTCCACCGATTCACCGACCTTCCGTTGGTACAGTGGATCCGGTTCAATCGTAAAGGCCGGCGGTTTCCGGACCAATACTTCCATGTGACCGGACGAACCCTGCGTTCCCTGCGCATTGTACGGCGTGCACGTGTACCGTCCCTGATGGTTCTGGTTGACCCGGGTGAACAGCAGCGAACCGTTGTTCATTATAACTATGTCTTTTGTTTGATAAGGTTCCAGTAATCTTTTATCTTTGGTCCATGTTACATATTGTAGAGGAGGATTTGCTTTTATATAGCATTGTACAACACCAGCTAAACGAAACGGTAAGTATTGTATTGTTGGGGTGAAGGTCACTTTGGCAGGATCTGCAATGACAAGCAATTGGGGTTAGAGTCCATGAAAAAAAATCAGATTTATTTCGGGCGCACACTTACACTCTATATTTAAAAAAGCCGAAGCACTTTGTGGTTCTCCGATGCCGTTTGACACCTCACACGTGTACATGCCGGAATCATCGGCACTGACCGGATTGATGATGAGTGACCCATCCTTGCGGATCGTGACGCGCGTCTCGAGTGCGGCCACCTCCCGTACCGGTGAACCCTCGCGGAACCATCGCACAGTGACATTCCCGGGCATCGCTTTCGCCTCGCAGGTGAACTGCACCTTCTCTCCCTCCAGTTTCGTTTGATTAGTGGGCGGCACCTGGATGATTCGTTTAGCAATGGTGAATGAAGCGCAGTTTGGGGGAAAACAGTGAATAAACGTTCAATGATGGATTGAAATTTGCTCACGGGATAGAAAATTTGAGCGGCGAATGTCGGCGGAGAGTACGAGAGTATGAAATGCTGCTTGGCGATGAATTCATACGGAAATATATTTCAAAAAGATGCAAAAAGTGTGGTAAAATATCACGTTTCCGTTAAATCGTTTTGGTGCATCATAAGTAGTGGATCATAAGTGCACCGAAGACACCAAGACGAATAGTCGGAAACTCGCGCTGTTATCAAACTTTTTAGAAAACGCGCTTATTAGTCCAGTTTGGTGTGAAATGGGCAATATATGTTAATTACAGTACACAGTGGACACATTTAGGGGGTTTAAAAGATGTTTAAGCAATCATTATATATTGTATCAAATGTACACGAAGTCCAAATAATGGCGAAGAATTCGTTCAGTCTGTATCGCAGATTTTTCCTTCGACATATTTGCAAAATTTATAAATTATTTTTCGCGTTCCATTTAATGATACAATTTAATAATAGGAGTTATTATAATCGGAAGTTACATAAGTAAATATCGGTTTCTGGCCACTTAGTACGTGAACAAAAGTGATCAAATTACTATAGAAAAAAAAAATGAATGGATTACTTCAGATCTCTGTCTTCACGTTGGATCATCAGTATACTTGCAGTGCATTATGCCATTGATGGATCTGAATTCATTCGTCCGGTAGCACCACAGTCTACTTCTTCTATATATTGAACCTCAAGCTCAAGCTACTGATGATATCAATACTTGGAAATGAGAAGGGAGAAATGAGAAGAACGGATCGAGAGACCGTTATGTCCACTTGTGGGACATTAGCGCTGAAAACTACGTGAGACTGAGGTGAGACAAGGTGAGATAAAAATTTAAATCTTTTGACGTCGATTCCATAACACCTAGCCCATTTTCTACAGATATGTTCATTGACATTCTCAAAATTCATCAATCGAACGATGTACCAGGTGGGATTAGCTGATCGTAACGGTAAAGGATCCGGAACCATCGGCAGGAGAGAGATGGAAAACTGGTTGATTGTATTGTATACAGAAGTTCTAGACAGCTGCAAAGTTAACAGTGCAACAAGCTCTGAAAATCCGTACAGGTAGAAATTGTATTTTTATGTTGATTCGGTGGATGTTCTTTAAGGTCATTTTGTCGCAGATGTAATCCTGATGTATGAAACCTATTTCATTCGGGACAGAAGTCATACATGTGTGAAAACTGTGAAAAATACTTAAGGCAATCGACTTTAGATTTACGTTAGGACTCACTCGAACGAACGTGCCTTGCTTACACACTTTTCTAAAGCTTTTCAACGAGAAGAATAATCCAACAACCCACATGCGAACTAATTCAAGGTCTATCGAACGTAGTTTTATTATCCAACAGGACTGGTCAAACAAGTCCAGATTTATTGTGCAGATCAGAAGTTCAACATCTGTACCGGCTGTTTCAAAGTCTTCATGAATGAGGACGATTTGGGAGATCACCTGAAACAGCACAATAAAAACATGCCAGATCTGCCAGAAAACGTTCACCAAATCGAATACCTGAAAAACCACATGAACATGCACATATTCCAGGACTCGTTCAAATATTTGAGTTCACGTTCGTTTCCAAACGAGGAAGAAGTCAGCCGTCACAGTCGTTGGTAAATTCATCACCGAAGCAATTTATTTAACCTAAAGAGTCACGTCCGGACCCACATTGAAGAAAACTCGTTTTCAGTAACATTCTCCGTTTGTGGCCACTATCTGGAGTTCAATTTGACGGCGTTTTGTGTCTATGGATCTGGATCATAACCATGACTGCTCTGTGGATATTCCGCATCGGTCCATACACTTTGCTATAGGATAGCAATTCCACGGTGAACTGTTAAATAAATATCATTCTTTGGAATGAATCCTGCTGGTTGATCAGGAACATTCACAGGATGCAATTTGCTCGATTTTGTAGAGTAGTTTTTTCACCTTTTCAAATGTTCAAATCGCCTCCAGCAGCTTTTCAAAATTTGCCTTGTCTTTGTCGTTCTTATCACGAATCAACAGCTTCAACGACGGAATGCTCTCCTCACCGTCCTTCTCGATCTTCTTCTTGCTGGTCAGCAACCAGTCCAAAACATTCAAGCTGTCAGAAGTACCGGGTTGCCAAATATACCATAATATTCGTATTTTACAAAAAATCGCAGCTTTCTCTATGACCGACACAATCGGCACACCTGCTGCACACTGAGAAAAATGTTGACCCAAGATTGGTGTGCGGAGTGACCTACCCCCTGCTAAAACGTGCTAAAACGTTAAATTATGCATCCATTATCCATCAACTAGTTGGCATTTAACACAAGGAAAAACATTTCTGAGAAATATTGACCAATGATCATTGTGTTTACGCGGCCTGGTAAAAGGTGTTAATAAATAGTAGATTTTAGAAAAAATATATAGCTGTAGATTATGTCAACACTTCCCAAAACCTTTAATCATAATTTAACGTATTTCAACCGTTGTCACTTAGCATATATTTATATGTACAACAAACATAAAACAGAAAACCAAAAAATTGTTATTAAATGTCTATTGAGTAACCTATATGTTTTCTACAAACGTATCTATAACCAGAGTTTATTAAAATAATTTGTTCGCAAATGCAAATCACTTTCATAGTTCTTTTTTTTTTCGACGGGGCTATCTTTGATTTGCCAATCCACTGCAGCTGTTCCGACCGCAGCTACCAGAAAGTTTGTTACCCAATCGGAACGTCCTTCCGTGGGTGCATTATGTTTCATCATCTTCCTGGACAATCCGATCGGCTTCAGAAAATAAATTCGGAGAAGTTGCACGCATCTTATTCGGGAGGAAACAGCAAGGGATTGAAAGTGTTGGCAAGAATATGGAATCCCACAACGGACTTTCCCACATCATCGTAATCATTTCCCCTATTTCATCTTCCATGTTTGCATAGCCTATTCGGCACAGCCTAGTATGCTTATAATAGGAACTTCTTAGAATTTATTGTCAGTAGTTCTCAGAAGTTGTCTGTACTTCTCCTTGGAAGTTCTCTGGATTTCTCGTCGGAGATCCTGTGAATTTCTCCTTGGAAGTTCTCATAACTTCTCGTCGGAAGATTCGTGAAATTCTCTCCGGAACTTGTCTGAATTTTTCGTCGGATGTTCTAAGAACTTCTCCTCGGATGATCATTGAATTTCTCCTCGAAATATATTTGAGCATCTCCTCGGAAGTACTCTGATCTTCTCCTCGGAAGTACTCTGAACCTCTTCTAGACAGATATCTGAACTTCTTCTCGGAAGTCCACTGCACTTCTTGTCGTTAGTTTTGTGAACTTCTCGTCGGACGTACTATGAACATTAGACTGATGCAAAATTTGAAATTTTCGCTCCACAGTGCTTAAACGGTTCCAAATTGGGTGCTTATTAGCATCCCAAAATTTGAACTACTTTAGTAAGAAACTGACTTGGCACAAACCATTTCAAGTTTATATGGGAATCACTATGGAAAACTTATGTTTTTGTTCATATTTATCTAACAATTAACCACATCACTATGCTTTTAAAAATGATAACAGTGATTGTAGCAAATTCTCCCAGCTACAACTTTGTTGAAAACCACTTTTCAATCAAATGCACGGAACAAAAGTTATTAATGATTCAAGTCACTGATGTCTTATGATTATGCTCATTCAACTGTTCAGCAGGCAACATTGGTGTTTCTGGTGAGAAGAATAGAGCACAAATATCATGGCTACTATGTCACACTGCAGAATACAGTGTTGCTAACAGAACAGCTGCTTGATCATGCCATAAGATTATCAATCTCTTAAACAATTAATAACAATTTAATTTGACATTTTGCTGAAAAACGATGTTCTTCTAAGTTGTAGTTTAGAAATTTTCCCGTAAGAATAGTTATTGAAATTTTCGAAAAAGCAATATGGAAAATGCGTAAAAGGCAATGAACAAAAAGTTTGGTTTTCCCATAGTAATTTCCATATAAACTTCGAATAGTTTGTGCTAAGTCAGTTTCTTACCAAATGAGTTTAAATTTTGGGAGGCTAATCAGGACCTGATTTGAAACCGTTTGAGCACTGTGGAGCGAAAATTTCAAATTTTGCATCAGTCTAATGAACATCTGAACTTCTCGTCAGAAGTTCTCTAGACTTATCGTCAGATGCTTTCTGAACTTCTGGTCGGAACTTCAGAGAACGTAACTGAAGTTTTGTGAACTACTCGAACGTTGTTTTCGGAAAATCTCTGAACTTCTCGTCGGAGGTTCTCTGAGCTTCTCGTCAAAAATTCTCATTAGAAGTTCTCTGAACCCCTCGTCGAAAATTCTCGTAACATCTTGTCGGAACTTTGATGAAGTTCTAAAAAATAGAGCGAAGTTCTGTGAACCTCAGGGATTTTTTAAGTGCTCTGAGATTCTGGGAAGTTCTGTAAACTTTTCGTCAGAAGTTCTGTGATAATTTGGTCGAACATTATGTGTTCTGTGAACTTTTCATTGGATGTTCTGTGAACTTCATTTTAAGATCAGAAAATTTCACCTGAACTTCAGAGAATTTCGCTTGAACTTCAGAGAACTTCTTTTTAAGGTCAAAGAAGTTATTTAAAATAATAAGTATGAGTAGCTTGCCATAATCACAGAGAACAGACGTTGAGGCACGAACAAAATTTCTCTAAAAACTTGTGTAAAGATTCCTTTTTTTTTTTTTTTTTTTTTTTTTATTATAGTCACTTTAACACTCTTGGGTTATTCGTGACTTGTCCGGAGGTGAGATTTGAACTCGTGACTTTGGCGTGAGAGGTATGGATGTTAACCACTACGCCGGGGTCGCCCCCATTGTAAAGATTCCTATTCGAATTAAGCGCCACTAACGGCGACTTCCCCACTTAAAAACCCTCTTTGACAACATGATGGCGCTGGTCTTTGCAAAACTTACACTAGACACTAAGTGCTGGTAGCGCCAAGTGGCAATTTTGAACAGATAATTTATCGATACTAGCGCCAAATTGGTCGAAAGTGATTAATTTATAGAGGAAATCAGGAGATGATAGCGCTACGTAACGGCGACGTTTCCACTTAACTTTACACAAGTTTCTGACCGAGCTTGAACGTCTGTTCTCTGTGCCATAATCCAGTAAGTTAAGTGAAAAATGAGTAGACACTCGTAACCGTATGTAGGTAGAGTAGAACAGGCCACACCGCCCGCATTCGAACAAACCCTGCGTATAAGAACGTTTGACAGCTAGCTTGAAAACGTTCAGGCGGAAGCAGACGGCGAGAAACACAAAAGCAGACAGACTCACCGCCATCACTCCGGGAAGAACGCGTCGTAGGATCGGACGGTGAAAATTGCCGCGGTCGCGTGCAAACTCGTCTAGGCAAAGAAATTTGCAACGAAACTTCCCAGATAATAGAACTAGTGACGTGACGTGGTGTGTTTGTCCGTGTACTTCGGGCGTGTTCGTGCGTGAACAGTTGACAGTGGAAAAAAGCCAACATCTCGATCATCTCGAAACCGCTAAACCCCCACTGGGCGTCGGGATCGTCTACCGAAGCCCTTGCACGCGCACCAGCAACCGTGTGGTGACCGGTGCCGAAACCACCATACGACGTAGGAACAAAGCACAATTGCATGCAGAACGGTCACTTTGTTTGAACTGTGGCCTTCAGCAGATCGAGGCACCGAAAACGAACGGCCGAGAAGAAGACATCTGCACGATAGAACCCACCCCACTGGTAACGATCTTAGGTACCTGATCAAGCGAGAATCGAGCGAAAACACCTCCCAACAGGAGTGAGTAAACCAAGTCCACCACCGTGATATAGTTTCTTATAAGAATTTGTTCATAGGGTGTTTTTTCTCCACTACGTCTGGATTCGGAGGCTACCCAGCCGCTCGGTAGCACACCGCAGGACGGATCATCCAGCATCAAACGTCGGTGCACATTCAGTGCAGTGGTGTACATCGTAGGAGCGGCGTAAAGGCGTGGTGGTTTCGACCAGCCCATGCAAGGTTCGGTGTGGCCCAACGGAGTTGGTGTGCTGCAGCACTAGCAATGCGAATGAAATGCGAAGGGGATGTAAGTCGGGGCCCCGTGAAAATCTGTGGGTACTAGTCGTTAAGAACCTTGAGGTAGCACAGGAAAGAAACCCACAGGATGGTAGGAGGACAGGTCAGGTGGTCACTATGGACCGAGAATATATAAACGTAATCAATATACTACTCTCACAATGAATGGGGTTTGTGTTCTTTTGCTGATTGATGGGGAAAAGAAACACTAATTTGGCGCATTGCCCTTGAGCTATCCGAGACTGTCTGAGCTTTTGCACCCGCTCAGAAGTCGTACACACAACAAGCTCCTTTGGAGTAGCTCTGCGATCTTCAATGAAGTATTGTAAACGCTAAAGAAGTTCAGCGCTCTTCAGAGTTCTTTTGTGAACTTCAGATAAATTTTTCGAACGTCAACAATGTCTGTGAACTTCTTCTAGTTTTACGAACTTCAAGTTTAATCTAGTGGTCTTTAAAGATCATGTCTAAGTTGAGGTGGACGCAGAATAGGCCTGAAATTAAAATCTCTGCAGTATATATAGCCTCTCTGAAGTTTACAGGAAATCGGTAAAGGTACTCGAATATTTGTAAAACCATTCTGAAGTAGAGCAGACTTCATCAAGACACATAGAACTTTTCTAGAGGGGCAGAGCGTAGCTAAAGTTCATAGAACTTCTCTGAAGCTATCTGAACTTCTATGATGTTTGCAGAACAGTTTTGAGATATTTTGTGTACTTTAAAGAACTCTACTGAAGCTATTTCAATTGCGTTGAGCGCATCTGAGCTTTCCATAACTTTTAAATTTGTTCTGCTAATTGCAGGTTGATGAATAAAAATAAGATGGAAAATATGACGGACTTTATGGGAAATGGATTGAACGATTGAACTTATAAAGGAAGTAGATTTTGCTACTTGGTGAATATGAATATGTTGGAAAATATGAGGTACCGTTGGTTTGCGTCGATGAATAGCTTGGAAACGATGGGAATCGTTGATTGATTTTGAACTTGTTAATGATTGGCTTAAGGGTGAGTGTTTTTGACTAGAACTGCCCGAAAATTTCCCTACTGGTCTGCTAGGTGACACAGATATATAAAAGTCCAATCTCATTCAAGCCAATGCTTTGGTGGCTATTCAGGCTAAGCTGGAATGTAGTTAATCGCAACTTTTGTCCTATTGCCCATTTTATGAATTTATTGTAATTCTGGAATTTTATAAAAGATTCTTAGACATTTCATTCAGAACACACCTAAATTTTTACTTACTGAATTCTCACAAAAAGTAGACTAACACATTTGATATACCAGCAACCTATATTCCTATTATCGCATAAAGTCCCCCCTCACATCACATCAATTGCAATTACCTATAATTTAGAAATGTTTCCAATCATGTAACAATTGCTTCCAAATTCGTTCTTCCCCCCCCCCCAATGTACAGTCACATACTCTCAACCGACAAAGCCGACAACGACGACAGGATTCCATCATCGCTAATGATTGCTCAAATTTCCTTTCCCTCACGGTGACGCACGTAGGCATACTACTGCCTCATAACAGTATCCCCCAGCCATCATCGCCGGCGTTTTCTCGCTGACATCATCGTAGGGAGCAGTTCCAATAGGTACCATAAATGCACCTGCTAGATGCAAAACATAGTTTTTTTTTTCGAAAACGACGACAACGACGTCGGTGGCGACGGCGGCGGGAGGATACCATTATCATTCTCTTAACGCTAATAATCAAAGACAGGTTTGGTGGGGGTGGTATTGGATCACAGTCTTAAATGAGCTACCGCATAAATAGAATAGGAAAAAAAGGTACGCCAGGATGGGAAAGGCTTGCGGGATGGGAGAGAATTTTTCTCTGCTGCGTAACGGTTTGGAAAGCTGGGTAAAACTTAAACAGAAAGGGGGAGCATCTGTGTTCCAGGAGCAAAATTGACAGTAAGAGAAAGCACAACGAAATAAGCCATCTTCTAGCAGGCAGTGAGGAAAGGAACAGAAGCGACAACGAGCTGTGAACATGTACCAACGATATGATGCGCATTTTTGTGTCGGTTGTTGCTGTTTGAATGCCAATTTAAAATCTATACGTTTGGAAGGATTATTTTCAGGCTAGAGGATTGTGGATTGTGGATTTTGGAGGAAGGCGGGGGTAAAGCAACCAGATACCATGCATTTCTAATCAGTGGACTACAACGAGGATAAAGAAAAGGGGACAAATTGAAAAATTGGATCAAGGCGACGACACACACACGAGGATGGTTTGTACATATTCACATCAATTGATCTAATTTAGAGAAAGCAGGAGTTGTACGAGGAGGAACAAAGAAGAAATTAGAAAATAAGGCATCTCTCGATCCTGATTGACCGGTCAGAGTCGATTCGCTTATAAACTACAGAAACGAACATGGTGCACTATTCATGGATTGCAGATATAACAACGGAATTCCAAGGAAATTGAGAACTTTTCAATCAATTTTCTTCTACGAAACGCATTTTGCGATTTCCCATTGCAAGTCCATCTGACCACCGACTCGTTTCACAACTCGTTTATAAACGTTCAATCAAGCACGAGATTGAAATGCAAGATATGGAAGCATGTCTTTTGTGAATGTGTGATTCTCCCAATCGAACAAAAATAAAAAATAAACATAGCAAAACGGTTGAAAAACGATAAGGAAATGAAAATTCCTGTTGGCCAATTCAATTCTTCGTTTAATGGAGCTTGATGGAATTCAGAGCAGCTTTTGATTATAGTTTTCAAATTCAGGCACAGAATGAATTCATGACAGGTGAGAGTGGGGGGAAACATGGTGAAGGATGATGGTGAAGATAATGGTGGTAAAAAAATCGCGTTTTCAGCGGGTCAGCGCACTTCTTGTCTAGTTAGGTAAAACATTCAATTTTCATATTCTTATCCTCTCTTGATTGCTTTCAGTTTCTGGCAAAAGTCTCAGTGATTGGCCAATTGGAACGTCTTTAAGTTTTTCATGGGAGATGTGATTTTGGTTCTATTTACACTCACAAAGTACAGTTTTCGATATTACTGGCACTACCAACAAGTACTGTTTATACGAGAATACGATATGTACAACACACGATCAACTAGGTCATAGGTGTCATTTTCGAAAGGATCGACAATGGAAAGAGAGAAAAGATTTAACATTGAAAAGTCCGAGCATTTTCTGAGGGATTAACGAGTTTCAATTTACGGACGTTGTTGGGATTTTGAGAGTAACTTTTTGGATTGTTTGTTTTTAGTTTTTGGTAGATTTGTTCTTAGTCAAAATTTTTACCATGATTACAGCGCCGCCCGCTATTATAACACGGGCAGTATGGGAGACTTGTCCCTCACCATTGCGCGCGATACACGTGTAATCGCCGATGTCTTCGTGTCGGATCGTGCTAATCCGTAGCTCGGTACCATCGTTAAAGATGCCAACAGTAGAAGACGGATCCACTGGATTGGCATCTTTGTACCATAGGATCTCTGGTGTTGGGGTGCCATCTGCCTGGCAGTTTAGTATGATAGAATCGCCTGAAAGCAAACACAAAAAGGAACACGTATAAAAACATTATCAAAAAGAGCAGAAACAACGAGATTGAAAGATAAAATTGATGAGCGTTGAGTAGGAGATAAAATTGACTATATCATTGTGATGCACGTTTCCGATGGGGCGGGAGTGCTGCTCAAATATTGCTGTGCTAATATGGACTGGTTCGCTTACACTTATGGATTGCCAGCACGAGGATGAAGTCTCAAGTTGATGCGTGAAAGTATATGGATAATTTCCATCCTTGAAACAACTTTGGATTTATCTCATTCTTGTGGTTTAGACTTCAAAAAACTTGAAAATATTATAATTCTTCTAAATGCAGTTCTAAATTCTATGTTTTAGCTAAGTATTTACATATATCTTCAAATCTTGACTATTAAAATGTAAAAGTCATACAAGTGACTTTTCGACCTTCATCGGATAGTTTAATTACTGCTCACATATTTGAAACCTTCAGAAACGAGTTCATAATTTGAGCTCCATGTCAGTATAAACATTAAATTTTCCTAAATCTGATACCTCCATCATATTCAACGCATATGTAAGCTGTTCAATAGACCAACATTTATAAATAAGAAATCTTCGAATCTAAAATGCCCTCAGATTTTAATCTTTTTATTTTACAATTATATTAAAGTGACTTTCGGCCTCTTCACATTAAATTTATAATAGGCGCACATTATAGCAGCCAAAAATTACCTTCCAAACAAACAATGCATGCAGAATAAAAGCTTATTCAGGTAAAAAATATGCTTCTTCAGCTAAAAAATTGCTTATTAGGCCATTATTCAGCTTAAATTGTTTATTGGACTCACAGTTCAAAATGGATCTGAACAGCAAAAGAGCTATCAAAAGGGATAAACGATAAAATAGCACCAAAAACCTTAAATAGCGAAGCAAACCCAAAAGTCGATGAAACCGTTAAAAACATCGAAATAGGGGAAATGGCTCTAATGTTGGCCTAAGGATCGAGGATTGGGCCCATCGCTAAAAATCTGCTATTTATCAACTTTATCTAGTTGAACGCGTTATTGGGGCAGTACTAATGGATATTTTGGTCACTATTGAAAATTTGATCGATTGCTGAATTTATGTATGGGCCCAAATTAGGGGCATTTAGGCCGACATAACATCCATTACCCCTAGCTTAAAAATCTGAAGCGAAAATAGTTTTCGAAAAAAAAAATACATCATGATGGTAATTATGATTATGATTATGATGGAGTACCACCTATTTTAGCAAAGCGCCTGCACATAGCAATGGACTATTCTTACCAATCAAGATTCATTTTCTGGTCGTACTCATCATACTCCTGTGTGAAGGGTCAAAAACAGTGGGCAGACCCGTAAGCAGGGACACTTACGCGAAATCCACGGGAGTGATAGAGAATCTCCTTCGAAAAGTAAGGTCATACATCCTGAACCCACCGTGTAAAAGAATATCCCAATAGGCGGGGAAAAGAGCCCACCCTCAATCCCCGAAATGTTAGCAACAGGAAGTTAGCAATCCTACTCTCCCCATCAAAATTGCTTCAATTGGGTGCCTCAAATATCTTTTTCCATAATTAAAACAGCAAAAAAGGTTATCTTCCATTTAATTCCACTTAATTAATTTTGGTATTTCGATGAAAGTCATTCCCACTAAAGAACTTATCAAAATCTAACACCCTTAAGTACTCATCCCTAGGTAAAAAAAAGTCAAGATCATAGGTATAAAAATGAAACTACAATGTGTTGAATCGGAACCTACCTAACTAATAAAAACCAAAGATTTAAGTAAACTAAAGGAGAAAAATCTATACAACTCTCTAATAAGGAAAATCCCAAAGATGAACTTTCTCCCCTCGTCGAGGAGAAAGATCCTATTGTTTCCGGAGGTCTTGGCGGTAAAGGCGGCGGCTTTTTTGGCAATATTTGTGTTTAAGCAGAACCGGAAAGGAAGAAGACCCGCTTCGATGCATGTGGCGTCTGCTGGAGTTGATGGCAGGAGACCAGATATGATGCGGATGTAGCTGTTGTAGACCGGTGCTAGGGTTCTAACCAGCTTCTCGGAAGCGATACAAGTAATTTCCGTCCCGTAAAGCAACCTACTGCCGATGATGGCTCGCGCCACCCGGAACCGAACATCGCGGTTGTTGGATCGGTGAGGCCGAGAGATCGTTTTAACGAGGTTGAGTCTACTGCGGCAGTCCTTTTTGACCTGTTGGAAATGCTGGTCGAAGGAGAGCGTTCGGTCGATCAGTACGCCGAGGACGCGAACTGTTTTCCTGTTTGCAATGGCTTGGTCGTGGATCGTAATTGAGGTGCTGTTGACTCGGTGATGAGACGGACATACGTTGCATCGGACGCTCTTCCTGGCGGACAGCTGGAAACCCATCGAGTCGGTCCATTTGACGACGGCAGAGACTGCCGCTAGCGCTTGCCGTAGGGTTCGGATCTGTGTAGGACCGGTGGTGGCAATCAGCACATCGTCAGCGTAAACAAATATGTAAATGTGCACAGATAGCCGGTCAATGCCACCAGAAACAACGTGACTGCGATAACGGAGCCTTGAGGGACTCCGGTCTCCTCGCTGAGGGGCAGGGGAGTGGTTATCAAACTATTATTTTTTTTCAATTCCGACCCATTTTAGGAATTGTATAAGCTCGCAACCCACCCATAAGTAAATCGATAAATCAATCCAAAAACTACTTCAAATGTGCGAAAATGATTTGAAACAGATGAAAAAACTGAAAGAGTTATCTGAACGCATGAGTATCAAAACAATAATTTAGTATTAATACTAAGTAGAAAACCACCTCAGACTCGAGACCTACTTTCAACCCCAGAATGACCATAAAAACAAACAAAAAAGTTTTAAACCCTAAATGGCTTTTAAAAACGTCCTGAACACCCATAAATGATCTTGAAAACACTGACATAACCTTAAAAACGTCAAAATACAAAAAAGACCTCACAATCACTAAACAAGATTAAAACGTATAATGAGAGAGAGAAGGATTAGTATTTTCCATTTAATTCCACTACTTTATTTGCTTATCCTTGACAGATACGCGTATTTCGTCTACAATGTGCAGACTTCTTCAGTGTCTTGTACTAATACTCGACTCGAGTCGAGTATTAGTACAAGACACTGAAGAAGTCTGCACATTGTAGACGAAATACGCGTATCTGTCAAGGATAAGCAAATAAAGTAGTGGAATTAAATGGAAAATACTAATCCTTCTCTCTCTCATTATACAGGTATTCCACTAAGACGCCCACATTCATCAGGAAGATTAAAACGGCCTAGAAACACCAAATTGACCTGAAAATGACAGCTATCATAATAATCATGAAACGTTAAAATAGCCTTAATAGCCTTAATAACATACTTTTTTGAAAGGGATAAGTTATGAAAATATTCTAGCTGCACCAATGGTTATAAGAAATTGTGTTCAAAGTAATTCGAACCTTTTTTAAAGCTGCTTGTTTTTGAATCGAACACATAAGATGGCATTTTGATGAAAATTAGCTTCTGCAATCCTTGAATATTGAATAAAACGTTAAGGAATACTGCCATCTACGGACCTTTAATACACTAAAGTGAACACCTTTAACTTTCTTCTCATTGGCAAACCGTTCCATTATCCCATTCCCCATTCCCACCTTTTCCCAGGATCCTCATCCCCATTTTCACTCACCTAAATTAACGTAAATGATGTCCTCCGGCGTAACACTGAAGCGCGGTGGAGCGTGCACGTCCAGATGAAACCAGGTGCCGTTCTTGTGCTGCTTCGGTGGCCGATTCAGAAACACTACCTTACACTCGTACCAGCCCTGATCGGACTCGCGGATATTGGTTAGGTTAAGCGATGCCGCACCAAAGCTCGAATCGGGCGACACTCTCGAAACGCGTCCCTCGTATCCCTCGCCGCTGTGGGTCGGGTAGCTCTCGTACCAGATGTAGATTGGAATTTCCTGTCCCTGCGTATTCACGGGGCGATATTTACGGATTCACGGATAGACATACCGTAGAAAGAAGAAGGCGATTAGATTAAAGCATAACAATGACTTCAATGCAGTCACGGTGGCTCTCACTTGCTATACGGTTTAAAAGAGCCGTCTATCGGTATGATATGTAATGTATAGTAAGAAGAAGAATAAATTACGAAAAGTAAAAGATAGCAGAAAGTAACAGAAAGGTCATGCTGCAGATAGATGAAGTGGTGAAGTATTCTTATTAATAGAAATAGAGCGAAAATACTTGAAAATGCTGTAGATTGAAGATTGTATCTTGGAAACACACTTACAACGAACGATATCTAAAGTTGATACAGTTTTATTCAATATAATCAAAGCGTAAATATAACGAGAGTATAATAATATTCAGTCATGCTATTCAAACGAATTACGACAAAAACGAAAGAAATCTGCTTCCAACGAAAATTTATTTATCAATATCTCGATCGTTAATTAGTTTTTCCGCATGCCTTCAGTGCTGTAACAGCCAAAGCCTCCAAGGGTTCTCGGTGTGTGAAAATTGTGTGTTACTCTAGGCTTCCTTGCCCCAGCTACCATTAACCATTCCCTTATCCCCCTACACATCGTAACTTGGGAGGACGTTTTCGAACGAACCACTCCACAACTTATAATCATAATAATATTGGAATTTCTGTGTGCCAACATCACACCGAAATTCCATCCAACCTCACAATAAACACCAAGCCAACGACGAGCGACGGCGGAATCGTTAATAGACCTTCATGAACTGACGACTGCGCTGCGCTGCGGCCGTGGACTGGCGTGATGTGACTTCTGTGATGTAGGAAGGAATGTTAATGACTGAATTACTCTTTTCATTTATCATCATGCAATATGTATTGATAGCGTCCTTTCATCAATGTTTTCCATGCAAATCCCATTCACGCATAATAATCAGATCCTCGCTACGTCTCTGTACGGTATGCGAGCCGTCCGTGTGGCAGCTCCATGGGAAATTGGGTAGGTGTGTGGTGAAGAAATTTTCCTGCCTTCTAATTTAGCCGATTAACGACCGACGAACGAATCAAGTGTAGGTACCAACATAGTATAACAGTGAGGGGTGGAAGGAAACTCCAAGGGTTCACCCGCTCGCATTTGTGCTAATAACCCATGCGAATTCATTACGACGCCGACGACGACGAAGCGCGAAGGGAAACTAATAATATCGGTGAAAAAATGTATGAGAAATTTTGAATATGTACGGGGGGAGGTTGCTCCTTCTCAACCAACCCCATCCTCGACGAAGGCCGCAGACTAAGTACACACAACATGGAAATTAATGCCGACGTTTCTTGTTTGGTAGGCAGGTGGTGTGGAAGATTCTGGGAAAGGTGGAGTGTAAATTCCGAACCCGGTGTCGTTAGCTCATTTAAATTATCGGTGTGACATTGAGCGATAAGGTTAAGGTGAGAGGACGGAAGGTAATTTGGCGAAAGTTTGCCTGCCACTATTGCTCTATTAGGAGGGCGTTATACGGTTGGGAACCGTCACCGTCGTCGTCGTCATCGTTGTCGATCTTGGATGTGACTGAAACTATGAAAATGGAGCCGCAGGCTTGGTGAATTATCCACTTTTTCATGATTCGATGGAGATGCATGGCGCTTCATTGTACGATATGGTTGGAGTAGCTTAAGCATTCTGATTGATAATCAATCTTCAAGAACGTACCTATTTAAAATAAATAGGAACCTTTTTGCCAGTCCAAAATCTGACCTGACTGGATGTTTGGCATAAAGACGATTTGCTGAATGGATATTTGATCGAAGAATGTGAATCAACGTATTGTTACATTTTACATAACAGGTTATTAATCAACACATCGATATCCAGCTTTTTACGCTCGCCATAATTTCATCAAGCAGCGATTCATCTTAGACGCTTACCGTTTGTGGAGTGTGAAAGACTATGATTGATTGGATAGTTTTCAAAAGTTGAATTCCTTAGTATGTCGCTGCATGTCCCCAAATAGATCAAGGGGGAAGTCCCACAGGATTAAGACCGGGCCAAGCTGACCCAGGAATATCAAGGCTTTCAGAACAAGTTTGAACTGCAAAAGGAAGAATACAACAAGGGACAATCCCTAGTTGCAGAAAGGTGATTTGTAGAATTGATTAGAAGATTACAACTCTCAGGAGTTCATACATATTTCGGAAGCACAAATGGTGACTCACGACGCTCAACATGAAGCTGGACGAGGTAATTGGCCGCCAGGAGCGAACACTCGGGTTGCTCTTAGTTCAGGATAGAGAACCCACCCCGCCACCACCGCACCTAACACAACAACAACCGGGAGGTGCTCCCCTGATCGCTTTCGGAAGCACCATTCAGCATCACGAAGTTGATGCGCTGCTACGGAATTAGATCCGTTCGATTATAGGCGAAGTGAATGCCCGAGTGGATTCGATTCTGAACAACTAGGCTCGAGCAGCTACATCTCAAATTCAGGGCGGAGGATATGATATGTAGAGCTTGATGCTTGTTCCTTAGAAGACATTGAAAATGTGAGGAAAAAATAAGTGCCTAGATAGGATTATTGTTTCAATAATAAACAAATTAATAGTTTCCAGTGCACAAAACAGTCAGGTTCAATGAGTCATTTTCATATGAATATGAGCAGCCATCCGCCTCATCATTCACTGCCTCGTGAGAGTCTGAATGATTGGGAAGTAAATGAGTCACTGTCAGCCGAGCAATCAGTCAGTAGCTCAGTCAGTACGTTAATTCTTCCGTGATGGTACCCAACCCTTATTTTGAATGACTGAGCGTACATTTTCTATGGAAAAATGCCTCAATAACATGCTGTGCGAGCGAAGGCAAGCGCTGTGAGTCTTGGCTCTTTCACTGCCTCGTCCTTTACCCTTTGATATAAACGGTCAGGATAGAGCAATGAATCGAATAGAGCAATGAGTCGAGTAGAGCAGCGCTTTCAAACTCAGCCGAAACAGTCAATAACTTCACGCTCTGATTAGAACACTTACTTCTGAACAACAATTAACATGAAATTATGCATGAAATCAACTCAATCAAGCGTGCAAAGTGCAGAAATTTTTTTTTTTAGCCATGGCCATCTTAGTCTTTTCCATAATTGTAACTCTCATATGTTAGAAAGGGGTGATTCCAATTGTATGTCGCTCAAACGTAAAAAAGCTAGATAGTAGGGGAAATGGCTCTAATGTTGGCCTATGGATCTAAGATAAGGCCCATCGCTAAACAGATGACGCGTTCATTGGGACTGTACTAATGGATATTTTTGGTCGCTATTGAAAATTTAGTCAATTTATGAATTTATGTATGGGCAGAAATGAGGGGCATTTAGGCCGACATTACATCCATTTCCAAATTTATTTTATAATTCTAAGGAATCTATGAACGAATCAGGTTTGGTAGTTTAGTGAGATGTCAAAATTTTATAAATTGTATTATATAGATCATGAACAGCCTTAGTCTTTCCGAGATATTTGACACCATGAATAAGACATTCAATTACATTATATTTCGGTCTTTTAAAAACTGCTCATTATTCACTCAAACCATTTGCCTCGGATTGTTGTGTATTACTCTAGGCTAAACAGCCCTCTATTATTCAGCAAATAAATAACTACGTGCTCAAATAAGTCTTATGGTTTGAAAAGCCGCTTCAAGCTACATATTGGTTTGCTTTATTTAACTTTTGTCGTTGGCGGCTCGTTTTTATTTCAGTCCAGGAAATTATGTTAATTAAGTAAATGTATCAAACTAGTTCATGCTTAATTGGAGTGTGTATTTTTAAGTAATGTTGTGTCATGGGGTAAGTCACTCAGCTCATTATGCCGAAATTAGATTCGGCACAGCTTGGACACATCCATCAGCACACCTTCGACATATCTTCGACAGACCTTCGGCCCAATCTCGTAGGTATTGGATTGTTGTAAATAAAATGGGAACACGGCTGGGCAACTATCATTGAAAGTGTTCACAACATTACGTTTGACTGTATATTCAGGAACATGCTCTAATTGAATATACCAGAGGAACTCACACCAGAAGTTCACTTATAGATCTAAATATGAAATGTAGGTTCTAGATGGAGCTCAAGAGGAAGGGGCAGCTAATCAGACCCCATTAGTACCCTTAATTCAAATAATGCTTCAACTCACACAAAACAAACTACAGAAGGCTATTTATCGACCTCTAACAATGTCAGTCTCCAACAATGTTCCCCACCGGTTCCGGCCACTGATAGACCGTTGCTTTTCACATCACGAAAGGCTGGGTTTCTGGTCTACTTTTAAGGCATTATAATGCCCTAAAACACAGGACTTTTACTATCCTATGAACACAAAACACCAAAATGTCACACACCCGCCACTTCCCGCGTCATCCTCACTCCAATTTATCCTTGCGATTTCAAACCAAAACATTCAAGGTGTCAGAAATACCGGTTTACCGGGATAGGTATTTTACAAACAAGCTAAGCTTGCTCTAGGACCGGCACAATCGGCACACCTGTGGCCTTCCTGTGGCACACATGCGGCACACTGACACAAAATGACCCAAGATTGGTGTGTGGAGTGACCTACCCCTTGTGTTGTGGAAAAAATCCAAAAAAGCGTTAGAAACTTTCATTACAAAAAGGCCTTTCCTATATTTTTTTTTTAAATATTTAAATATAAAAAAATTTCCAATTGGAAACATTTTAACGAAAAATTACCGTCAAAAAACCGATCATCAGTTCTTTTTTTTTTTTTTTTTTTTTTTTTTTTTCTTTGGTTGGGATCTAACACTACTGCGACCAGTAAATTGATCTATTGTAGTATATCCCGTCTCCTTAGTTCAGTGCATGTCGTATTACTCCATCACTATTGAGAAATGATGAAGTATTCGATTTTTTTACAGTTGCCACTCTTGCATTTATCGCAAGGATCCGACTCTAATTGAAAGGTCCCGCTATTTATACCCTTCGGAGTGTTAAAACACCCTCCAAAGGCGCGGACCTTTGTCAGTCAAAATTGGATTCCTTAGCAACAAAATTAAGGTATGACACCGATAATGACCATGCATCAGAACCCTAGTCTTAACCACTTCAAACTAGGGAACAACGAATAGAAGATTAGGAATCACATAGATGAAGACAACTAACTCATTTTTTGCCTTGTTTCAAGATCATCCTCGGTAGACAAATCCGAGTCTTGTCACTTTCAAACAAGGCATAAAAAGTAACAAGGACTAAGATGTGTTCCTTGGATTACTGAAAAATCCTGTTCCCCTAGTTTGAAGTAGTCAGGACTAGGAATCGGTTGTAGATCTTACATCCCGTAACGTACCACGAAAAGGTGATCTACCCACGTTACGGGGCGATCATCAGTTAGTGGTGTCCCCATTAGGATGCGTCATGTTGTGTGGATCACAACCCCATGCTCCCCATTGCTCTTTTGATACAACCCAACAATTGTGCAAAATTTGAGCTAATTTGGATCTGGATTTGCGGGAGGAATTTATTTTTTGTATGGGAAAATGTATGGAAAATGACACGAAAGTTTTCATTTGCATTCCAAAAATTCAAAAATTACTCAATCTTACTAATCGTTTTAAAATCAAACCTCGGATTTAGATCGGGAATGCTCTGTAGAACAGCTTTGTGCAAGACCGCTAATCGTTTTAAAATCTGACTTATTATTAATTTAGTATAGGCCTATTGCTCATTGTAGTAGACAAAATACGCGTATCTGTCAAAAGACAAGCAATTATAATGGAATTTAAAGGAAATAAACCAACACACTCAAAGCTCTTCATAAAGGGATTCCGTTAAAAGGTTCGACAAATTTAAAAGATTGGTCGTAATGATGTTTTTTACAGATCACACTTTGCCACTTTGCGGTGTGCCAAAAGAAAAATGTTCGTTGGAACTTTATGCAAAGATTGACAGCACAAGAAATCTGAACCGTCCACTAGCAGAGCCTACTTCGATCTCACTGCAAATTGATTCGACTTCTGTTGAAAAAGTTATTAAACATTTACTTTGCCCAAATGCTTCACTCATTCCTACAAGCTCATATTACGCCTGTAGGTAGGTGGTGAGCTATAGGCCTATACTAAATTAAAAGCTCATCGTTACGATGACAAATTCCTTAATCCTTCGGGTTGTTTTGCAAACCACGAAGTGAGTTTTTGGTACAAATGAGGAGAGGTGGTTGAACTACAGTTAGTGCTGATTGTCAAACGCGGTAAGAAGAAAACGGAAGAGAACGAAGATCCGTGTACGGTGTTCGCTGCAAGCTGTGTGATGAAGACAAAGCGTTTGGACTACTGGAGAAAATCGTGGAATAGAGAAGTCCGGAAAAGTTGATGATCACAGTCAACCAGACCAGTTTTGGTGAGATCAATCCATTTTTATCTATAAGTTAGGAATTCGGGGAACATTGGAGGCATTTGGTGAGATCCTTCAATTATACTATATTATATAAACCATTCATCACATCACATATGATTGTTAAATTCACTCTTACATAACTCGGAACGTTTGGTACAGTATATCCACGCATCCTTCCACCCTTGTAGATTCACAAAATGAATCGCTGTTTAAATATATTTATTTAAAATCGAATCATTTCACAGAATCATCTTTGCGACAAATGCAACGCAAGGACCTGGCAGCTTTGCTGATTGTGTCATGTATCAGATATGCGTTATCTATCCTAATCATATTCCAGGATGCTTTCCCGTACTGCCTGTGTTTGTATTAGATTCAATTAGGTTAGATTAGAACTCGAATTAATTTGCAGTCTTGGACAAAGTGGTTCTGCATAGCATTCCCATCTAAGTCCGAAATTCGGCTAAAATTAAACAATTTTTAATTTTTTGACATGCATTAATGCAAAAAATTCGTGTCATTTTCCACGGAGATCGATTCCCGGTCCACCAGGTTGAACATTTCGTAAATAGAAATTTCCCTACTAGTCTACTGGGAGTTGTGTGTTTGATCATTATCTAGTGTTAAGTTTTCAGTCTGTGCAACCTCTGGTTTAAGACAGACAATTGTCTTTATTCCATATAACAAACCATGTAACATTTCTACCTGATGACCCATGCCCTTTCACCTTTTCATAGTTTTTTTAAACTTTTGATTGTGATCATAAATTGTATCAGCTTACATAGATTTCAAAACGTAAGAGTTTTTGTAATGGCTTAAAACTGGTTTTAAGCAAATTTGATCTTAACATGAATTTGGGGATTTGGGGCAGAATAGGCTAAAATATATATTCAACTTATTTTTAAAAGTACATCCTTCTCCATCGATAATCATACTTTCATCTGCATCAATAGTGAAAATTAAACCAGCTGGTCATGGTAATACACAAACCTATAGATGCGATAATCTTTCCTCATCACAAGAGTGAGAGTGACCACAAAATATCACTTCCAGTGCAATTGATATGCTCCACCAGAGAAACGGCAGATGCGTCCAATGCATAATGCTAATGCTACTGCAACAGTGCAAAACAATCTACACTCTTTCCCCAAGCGGTGTTCACCTAACCTCAAAGACCACGTCCGATTTCCTGTGTGTCTACGAGAGTTTGGTTTGCACCAGCAACAGCAGCAATATTTTCTTGCGGTCGACGAGCCTTTTGTTCGAAATGTCGTCTGCCTTTCGTTCTCCTTCATCAAGCACGATCCGGAAATCGAAATCAGCTTTTTCCCTCCAATTTAGTACTGCTGCGTACGGCGGTGCCGGTTGGTTCCATGTACCCTTTTAGCAGCTCATTAAACTGTATCGAAATTCTTCTTTGGTTCGAGTTCTTCTCGATTGATTGTTGGACTGGGTCTTTTTCAGGGCCTTGTGGGCTGCAGCCCGTTAAGAATCGAACGGCTAATTATTTAATTGGACCATAATAACTTTCTTTGTGGAATCCTCAACCCGACCCAGGCACTAAGCATACCAAGAATTTCACCGCGGAACAATAGGCGAAAAAGTGCGGCCACGAAATGGATTGCCATTAGAAAATCTAAAAACTGCAGTCACAATTTTAAGACACATTTTCAGCAACTTCCTATAGCGTTCACAATTCTCCGGGAAAAGTACCGGAGCAGCAGGAAAAACAGCATAATGTTGGTCGGTCGCATGACAACCGCATTATAGGAAATCACGACAAAAAGCAATGAACCTGCCATGCCGCAGAGCACTGCAGATTAAAGCTACACCCTATTATTGTTTTGCTACTTGTATTTCTCTATGGTAGCCACGCTAGCAACAAATAGAGGGACTGTATAAGAGACCTCCGAAATGAGATATTGATAAATAAAATAATACTAGTGAAGCCATAAATTAAGACACGCATTCGCAATCGATATCGAGACATTCAATATTGCCTATATAGACTTTTACTGCTTTGCTTTTCTTTTGCCGAATACTAATGATGCAAATTGAATAGAGAACTTAAAAAATCAAAACGATTTCTTTGTAGCGATCAAATCGAAACCAAAAACCAAATCTAGGTAAATAGAAACAGTTGGAAAAAAAAAGTAACAAGCAGTTGTAAACTGTAATACTTAGGTCTACATGATTATATATGAACTCTGAGTAAATCGACTGTTTTATATGCGTATAATATTCTGTCTGTTATGCATTTCTCGTGGGTTGATTACTTTACTCTAAGCTAACTCTCTCTGTGATGGGAGACTAACTTTTTATTGCTTTTTGGAGGGGGTTCTGAAAGCTAGCGCAGACTTTGTTCACGAAGTGTGTTTGTATGGTATACGATACGATACGATACGAAAAAAAAAACTGGAGAAATTGATTAGGAGTAGAGAGTTGAGTTGATAGCGTACCGTTTCGCTCACCTTCTTCTCCCATTGCAAGACATAGGGAACGGGATGGTCACCGGGGAATTCGACATGACAGTTGAACACGACGCTCTCGCCGAGGATGGCGGTGATGTGAACAGCATCCTGGGGTGCTGAAAAGAGAAATAGGAAAATCGAGGTCAGAAGGGCTGTAACTTTCAAAGCAATCATCAGTGAAAATTCACCGAAATATCGAATGATTTTTACCGAGTCTCACAGTTGGGGTGACTTTCATAAACATTTTGAGTGAGCTCATTTCCAAAATTAACCTAAATTACATTATTTACGATCAGATTTCAATACCATATATACAAAAAACAGAGCATAGCAGTTTTAGGATATACATGCAAATAACCAAGCTGATATCGAGATATCGAGTTAGAGATGAAAAAAACCTAGATAGATTCATTATATAATTGTGCATGAAATTTCTATAACAGAGAATCGAATGCTCATTTTACTCCAAAATTTTGTCGTTTCTGGAACTTTTCAAATCTCTACCAAAACCGATTTTAAAGGCTACTGGGGAATGTAAGATTATTTTACAGAAAACTAATCCCTAAAATCTTACAAATCTTATGATGGTTTTATACGAAAATAATTAATCCGACAACTAGCACCGTACTCAGCAGGTGCCGAAGATGGCATTTGCCCCTTTAAAAAGTAAGAGGTTTTATCCAAGACACGACCGTAGATTAATCGCAGGATTACGTGCTTGGTATCAATATTCGGCGACTGTGTTAGGGAAACCACTTCTTCCCATCACGGAAACGCCTTGTTTTCTGATGACAAAATCACGCATTTTCGTGCACAAAATACATTTTAATTTTTGGTTTATTCAATAGATACACACTTAGAAAAAATCATGTAAATTTCGGTGCTCTGAGAGTGACATATACGAGCGTCAAATATAAGTCATAACAGACGCGAAATATAGGTTAATCTAACGTACTTTTCGTCGAGCAACGAACTTTTCAGTCTCGGAGCACTTAATATTACATGACATGTTTGTTTATGTCTCATCTTCATCCATCGTCAAAGATGGATTCCGTCGTGTGTAAAATTAAGTGTTTCTAAGTGTGTAGTCAAAAAAGCGAAAATTGATTGGAGGAATCACTTGCTAAAATTCTTCAATCGCGAGATATTCGCGATCAATCATATAAATTCGAGAGTTTTTGCATTTTTCTAGCGTCCTGGAGAAAACCTTACCTTAATTCGAAGTCTTTCTGGTTTCTAGGTCATATGGTATTCGGTCATTACGTGAATTTGTATGTCCCCCTTAAATACTGTTTCGCATTTGGCCACAAACGTTTGATTGCTATGATCAGAGAGATTTGGTGGCGATCTGGCTGACAGCAAGGCGTGCGAACGTTCAATGAAAGTTAAATCATAAACACACATAATTTATGGTGGCCGTTTGTCGTCATGGATGAGTAAAGCTGAGCTATTAGAGTGTTCAACACAGATGAGGCTGGCGAGTTGTATGTTGTTGGCCTACAGCGACACTCACGAAGAGCTACTGAATCCGATCAGTAGCTGAAAAACAATGTTCAACGCCACGCGCCGAAAGCACTGCTGCTGCCGCTGATGTTGACGACCGACCGGGTACCACACACATGAATTAGCACCATTTTACGAGACCGGATGGAATTCGATTTTGAAATCTGTGTTAGGGAAAGCGCTTTTTGTAAGCAACCGGTGATAATTTTTATCACCATTGCAACAGTTGGACATTAGTGTAATTTTCAATAGAGACAAATTGAAAATTGATGATGGGTTCATTTTAGCAGCTTCGTAGAAAAGTTTCCAATTGATTGGCTTGTTTAGAATTAAATTCCATCCACTATTGACATAGTTATAAGTGGTTTTTTCGTAACGCGGTCGATTTTGGTTTTTTGGAATTGCACCTCCAATATGTTTCCGAAAGACGTAATCCTATGTCAAAATTCCCGAGGGGCGAAAAGTTGCTAGGTTTTCTACAATATATTCTGTTAATTTTATTTTAGTAATTTTGAGAAAATTACTAAAGAAAATTACAACTTTGTCATTTCGATGAAATGAGGTGTTTCATTTTGGAAAAAAAGTTTGTTTTCACTATACCCCCAGGAGTAAAGTATTGGTAGCGTTTATGTTAATACACAGACGTTTTTTAACCAACAAATATTATACGCCTTATTGTCTGCGATGGTGTTTCATTCGGCGGTGAGCATTTTAGAGGTTCAACAACGTGGGCTTCTGGGTCGTGCGGTTAGCGGCGTTACCCGGCATTCAGGCGTATTATGAGTGCCACGAAGTGAGGGTTCGATTCCCGCTCCAGCCGGTGGAACTTTTCGCAACCCGATAATTTCCCTACTGGTCTATTGGGATTTGTGTCTTGTCCGTTGTCTAGTGTTAAGTGTACAGTCTGTGCAACCTCTGGTCGAATTTACAGCTTTTTTACGCTTCTGTCCCATTTGTTACATATGACGATTGGCACCCCCATAGAAATAAAGTGTTGCATGTAAAATTTTGCTATGTTTTGATCGGTTGACTCATACGGCAAATAGTTTTTCGTAGAAAAAAATAAACAGAAATGAGGAAATTTGAGCCCAATTTTGCCCATAGGTAGAGTATTCCGAGAAGTGTTTGGTAGCTTTAAGATCTTGATTTGATTGCATTTGTTACATGCGACCTATTCAAACTAAGCTTTATGATTAGCATTTCCAAATCGTAAAACTTCACGTATGAAGTAGCAAAAACATTTTGAATGTTCTAAATCATTATGAAAAAAAAATATATCAGGGAATACCAGAGAGCAAGAGGCATTAATATTATTATTAATAATATGGCATTATTGTTGTTTAAGGAACATATGTCTACAACATTTAAAAACGCTATCTCGATAATTCGTACCTCATTTCAGTGATTTTTCTTTTTTTTATATGTGGTGTCTTCAGTACGCAGAGCACCTCCATATTCAATCAATAGTCATTTTAATTATACCATTCAACATTAGGGGAATGGGGCCTCCCTTAGCTCAGTCGGTAAAGGCGCAGCTACAAAGCAAGACCATGCTGGAGGTGGCTGGGTTCGATTCCCGGTTCAGTCTAGGAATTTTTCGGGTTGGAAAATTTCTCGACTTCCCTGGGCATAGAAGCATGATTGGACTTGCCACACAATCATATCAATGCAAAAATGGTACAGGCATCGAAAGCTCTCAATTAATAACTGTGGAAGTGCATCTAGAACACTAAGTTGAGAGCACGCAATAAGCTAATATGCGATATGCAATAAGCTTGAAATGCGAAGAAGAAGAAGAATAAGACATTAGGGGAAGGAGGAACATAGTGAAAAGGTAAGACATAGTGAGCTTCCTGTGCTTTAGCCTTGGATTTCTTATGGTTTAAAACAAATTAATCTGCCAATAATTGATATGCAATGGTGATATTGAACCTACTACCAATTAACTTGATTTGAACAATTAGAACTTTGGAACTGGACTGCGGGATACTCATCAAAGGGTGTCCCACATCAAATTGCATCACGGAAAAAACGCTGTAGAAAATTACCCATTGGGTATTTACTCTTGAAAATTTTGGTAGAAATAGTTTAGAGTGTATTGTTTACACTGAACTTTTATCGCTGTCAGTTTTTCGAAAGTTGGAAAAAATGGCGTCGCCCAAAAAGCAAAGCCGCGAATTGATTTTGCGCAAGCACCTGGAAAATCCTCAACTCTCTCATCGGGACATCGGAAAACAACTCGGAATCGTGCAGTCAACGGTGAGTCGTGTGATTAAACGTTGCTACGAAACTTTGAGCATCGAACGGAAGGAGAAATGCGTTCAGAATGGATGTTCTATTAGTGATCAGGATCACAAGCGTGTCGTGAAAGCGATTAAGCGGAATCCCAATTCTTCCGTCAGGGATGTGGCCAAAATGTTTAATCTGTCCAAGTCTTTCGTTCAGAGAGCCAAGGACTGGGAAGGACTGTATACGTACAAAGTACAGAAGGCTCCAAATCGTGACGAACGGCAAAATACGGTGGGAAAGTCACGGGCCCGGAAACTGTACACCGAGATGCTGACGAAGCCTCATCAGCATGAATGATGAGACTTACGTCAAGGCGGACTTCCGACAGCTTCCGGGGCTACTGTTCTTCGCCGCCCAGCACAAGTTTGATGTTCCGTAGGAAGTAAGGAAGCAGAAACTTTCAAAGTATGCCAAGAAATACATGATTTGGCAAGCGATCTGCTCATGCGGCAAACGGAGTGCACCGTTCATGACTACCGGCAAGCTTGCAAATGCTTGCGATATTTTAATGATAATTGTTATTTACAAGATGCAAGAAGAGAAGGTAAAGTGTGTGTATGACACATAAAACCTGCCAATTTATCTTTCAGAGGGTCACAATAGCGATTAGCTGTAAGGAAGAGCAACGCGATGAGCGAGCAATCAGCGATCATAAAATCGCTAGTTGTAACCTTTTGATAGCAAAATTGACAAATTTTATATGTCATAATCAAACTTTTCCACCTCTTCTTGCTTCTTACAAATTAAAATTATCTTTATAGTATCTCATAGTTTCATAATTACGAAAAATAGCATTTTAGCTGTAATGAGCAATTACAAGCCTAACTACTGGGACTATAAACGGGGAGATGTACCTCAAGGAGTGTCTACAGAAGCGTCTGCTTTTTCTGTTGAAGCAACACGAGGGCCTTACGATGTTCTTACTGATCTAACTTCGTGCCACTATTCAAATATTATCCTGGAGTGGTACGAAGCCAACGGGGTCACTTTCTTACCCAAGGACATGAACCTCCGGACCAGAACTAAGGCCCGTCGAAAAATACTGGGCTATTATAAAGCAGGCTCTACGGAAGCATCCCAAGGAGGGCAAATCTGAGGAAGACATGAAGAAAAAGTGAGTTTCCGCACAGAAGAAGCTGTAGCCAAATGTTGTACAGAACCTAATGAGTGGAGTTAAGCGTGCGAGCGTATGGTTATGGTATTGAAGATGAATGGAATAAATATGCCAAAAGCTTACTTATGGGTTATATTTTTTTGTCTGAAAGTTTGAAAAGGATCGGTCTACTAGGTAATTTTCTACAGGGTTTTTTTCTGTGATGCAATTTGATGTGGGACATCCTTTATGCCCTAGCTGTTCACTTTGCCCCTCTTATCCCTACAGCAAAATCAAATAAAACCAAATTTTAAAGAACGAGCAGCTTTCAAAGAAGGGAAATAATATAAAATCATATTATACTTTTGAGAATTTATTTGAAGTCAAGACAATTCAGTTCAGAATATTTACATCTGCTTTTTGTCTTTCTACCGTTTGCCAATTCGACTTTTTGTCATTTCGTCATTTTTTCCCATTCGACCTTTTGTTCCTTTCCTCCATTTCTTCTTTCGACCTTTTGTCTCTAAACCCTAAAGATTCTGAAATTCGTTTTATATTGGGTTGTAATCTTCAATAGCCTGGCATAATGATAACCATCCATACTTTTCATATGAAAGGTTAACTAAAGCCTGTCAAGTAATATATAATATTCAAAAGTTCGTTTTCTCTGAAAGATATCTAAAATACATTTTGCAGAATTGAGGGAGACTTGATCCCCCTCTGATGACATGCATTTTTATTAGGGAGAGTGGATTCATAGAGCTTTCATATGACTTTTGTTTTAATTTTCGCGAGACTGACCTGATATGTACATTCCTTAAAGTACGTATTTCTACAATTTGCCAGAAATCTCAGTTTTAAAAATCGGGAGACGCTTGATCCCTTTGTTATGTTATGCAATTTAATACTAATTTTTACATACATTCCGGGATGGAATGTGTAGAAATTCTGGTATCCCCAGGGTTTTAATTTTAGCACACTCATATCTCAGGATCAAGTGTGTCTAATCCTTGAGGGATCAAGTGTCCTCTAACTGAGTTTCCAACTTCAAATCAAATTGAAGAAAATATCAAAAGAAACATTGAGTTGTTTGTATTTTGGTCGAAAATCCAAAAAAATATTAATACATACTTATGCTGGCCTAAAAACAGTATTAGGGCTTGTTAAACATAAGAACAGCTCTCAAACATGTAAACGATCCACAAACTGACGAGAATGTCAGTATAACATTACCTTTCATTTAGAGTACTAAATTAAACCTTTTGGCAACTTCCCCGAGAAAAAAATCCTTTTGGATTTCGGTAAAACAGGTGGGCATCAAGTTCCCTCTAAGTATAAAAATTGTATTATACACATGCCTGTACTAGTTTAAAAAATATAAACAAAAACTTGAACAAAAATGATGATGATGATGATGATGGTCCCACCTCTTACCCCTACAAAGGTTTGAGCTGGACGAGTTATCTTTAAGATAATTAAATACAAACATTTTAACCAGGTTTGCAAACAAAATCGAGCTGGTTACAATTAAAGATATAAATGTCCTGTTAAATATGCTATAGGCATCAACCAATCAAAGGTGTAACTAGTTATCAAGAGTCCAAGTATAGTCCTCGACAATACTTCCATTTACACGTGACCTGGGATTTACACGTTTAAGCTTCCGCAGGGCCATGACTACCAAGGAAACGACTTCCAGCCAACCCTTAACTAATTCAAGGCTTTTGCCACAATTTCCACGTATTAGTAATTTATACCTGTATTCCGCGCGCGAGGCTCAAACCATTGTAGACTACTCAAAGCTATTTTTACTATTACTACTACAAAATCAAAAAACTAAAAATCCATCATCACCATCGAGGCAAACAATGTAGTTTTTTTGTATATGCTACACAAACTACTAAAATGTCTTTATGACAGTCTCCATACAAAATAATCCGTTAGAGATAACTTTGTCAAGATACATGATTTATCTATTCATAAAAATTTAACTGCTCAATAAACAGCTTTTACATGTGAAACGCAGCGTCTCTTAAATTCTGTAAGTGTAGTTGCACGCTTGATGTGTCTAGGCATCGAAATGAAAACATTTATACCTTTGAAAAAAAAAAAGAATTTTGTGAAGCATTATTCAAAAGATGTGGTGTTCTTACTTCATCCGCGTTTCTAGTGTTATATCTATGAAAATCACTTCCTTTTTCAATCCGACCACACAAATATCGAGGAAGCAAACCGTTAACTACTTTAAAAATGAACACCATAGTCAAAAACACAATTCTTTGCTTCACTGACAGCCATTTCAAATCGTCCAGCATAAAAGTTGAGGAAGTGAATCTATTACATCTTAAAATCAAACGCATTACTTTATTCTGCAAACGCTGTAATCTCGATATTTGTGTTTCATTGGTCAAAAATAAAATGGAAGGGCAAAAGTCTAGATGAGGGGAGATGATTGATTTGTATAACTGTATTTTACTACCAATAGTTAAATCGTTTTTCAAGCGACATAGAATTGCATACTTCCTGGAAATTTTCTTGATGACATTGTCAATATGAGAATTGAACTTGAGTTTGTAATCAATAATCACGCCAAGATATTTAATTTTCTGAACGCGGTCTCATCATCAATAACAACAGAGACATCATCATCTACACGATCCCGCGAAATTACTAATATTCAATTTCAATTGTTTGTACTTCAACCATCTACTTAGAGAACGCAAATCTTCATTCAAGCGTGAAACGGCTTTTTCTAAATCTTTAGCAGCAATGAATAACACAGTATGATCAGCAAAAAAGATTAATATCACAAAACCGTAAAACTCGTCACATGTCATTAATATACATAATAAATAAAAAGGGGCCCTAATACACTTCCCTAAGGCACTCCAAGGTCAATGCTCTAAATCTTAACACTTAGTCCAAACATCCGGACACTTTTAAAAGTTGAAGTTGGAAAGTGCGTTCTTGTACAGTTGTCATTGGTGCTAACAGTATGGGAATTAATATTATGTTGATTTGTACACGCCCTAGTACGTAGGGTAGTAAATTTGAGTCTTCGGCAAAGTATCTCAGTAATTGTTGGATTACTACATCCAATTAATTCAATCTAACACAAGAAATATTTTAATATGGTAGGTGTACCAGTTATTGCTATACGTTCCAATAATTGGAACACACCATAATAGGAACGTATAGCCATTTACCTTATGGTTGGCTGGAAGCCTCTATAATAAAGAAAACAAAAAAAAAAGGATAATAGGTTTTATCAACGCCAATACTCACCAGGTGGACTAATTGAACTAGTACATAGAGTAATGCAGAGAAGCAGTACAAACGATGAGATCAGCCAGTTCAACGCCGCCGCACTGCAACTGTATTGTTCGCTCAATTTGTTGGTGCTAAGACTAAAGTTCCTCCGTCGCACCGCTAGTGCCCTTTCGATATTACTACTGCTGCTGCTGATGCTATTCGTTTGTCTACTGCTTATGCTAGTGTTGTATGTGCTACCGCTGTTACTACTAGTATAATTACTATTATTACTGTACTGGTTGGAAAAGTTGTTGCTAACTGATTTCGTTTTAGAATCTGCAGTTTCTGTTTGTGTTGTCTCCGCCGCCGCCGCCGCCGCCGCTGTTACGGTTGCCGCCTTTTTCTTCTTAATGAAGATGGTAGTATTCAGACTTCTTCGCACCTTGGCATGGTGAAAACTGGACACGTGCCGATAGTCGGCCTGCTGACTATTGCTGCTGACCGTCGGTACAGGTGTTGTCGTTCCCCTGGCTGTGGTGCCACCGGAAGTGGCTGCGGTTGATGCTGATACTGTTGTTCTCGCTGTTGTTGCTGTGGTTAGCGATTGCGACCGGCTCAATGCCTGACACCACCGGAAAGCCCCAGGGTCCACGCACATGCCCATGCCTCTGATCCCATAGTCACTATGCTAACGCATCGTCGTCATTGCACTTTCTCAGTGTGTGTGATGGTTGGATTTTTTATTTTGATGTTCGGGTCGGGCTGCGTTTTCCGGTGGTATGAGTGTCACCTGTTGAGGAGGGAAAAAGAGAGGAAAACCATCAGTCGGCTGACTCTAAAGTGAGAATAAGGGAAAACTAATTAACACCGCAATGGAGATGATGAAAAGCGCATAAAACGACAGTTAATGGGTGTAGTTAGCCTTTTTTATGACCACTAAACCGCGCCACCGACGACCGTCAATGACAGCGAGACAAGCGGACAGGTTTCGGTAGAAAATCCGGGAATAGAAGCGATTCGAACCATTACCTATTGTGCGCAAAAGAATTCATGCAAAGAGAAGAGACGGAAGAAAGAAAAAACGAGCGGTTCTTTAACGATCATTGGACTGTAATTGCTGCTGTAAAATTTGCAACTTCTGAAGAACTTCCTGGACTTACGCGAGTCGAGCGCGTGTTTGGAACGGAACCACTTTTCGGTCCATCAGGTCAGGTGTTTGCGCTTCTGTTCAATGTAGTACAACTGGGACAAGCTAAATAAATAACAGGTTTTATTGTAATTGAATTCCTCAGGAGTTTTACTGTTCGGTTGTGGAGAAATTTGCGGAAACGTCGAGCTAACGAAATTTATGGGGTTTATGAGTTGTTTGTCATCTTACTCTTTAATTTCCTGGCTTTATAGATTCTGTTTATTGTGAGAAGCCCCATATTTAGCTAGTGGCGCAGCGTTCTTGACGAAAAATTCATCTCAATAAACGGTCTCATATTACCATTAATTATTCCGAAAATAAAGGCCATTTATCCAAACTCATGAAGTCCCTGCAAACAAACCGTGATGGTTACCATTATACCACGCTCGTTAGCAAATCAACCCGACCATGAATGGTAGTAAGCTGCACGTGGCAAAAATTTCCCGCACGGAAAATATCAATTTCCATGTCATCTCAACACTAATAACCCTCAACTGTAGCAATTAATCACGCCATTTTTGTTTGTGACTGCGAAACAAGCACAAAACACATTACACATTCATCACGAAAACGTCAGACTGTGCTCTATTCAGCTTTTCCTGCGTTCATCGAAAAATAGGTTGCTTACCTCAGAATTTGCCCCTCCCGAGAGGACATCAAATGTTATATATTCAATCGACCCCAACGAAGCGTATCGGGTTTCTGTTTTCCACCTCTTCCGAGAGTTTATTTACATCTTTGAAGAAATTTATCACACAGATCGAATCCCCATTTGTGTCTATTTCGATCTCTGTTTGTTACGAAACCATGACGCCAGGAAGTTCCAATCACAAAAAGGGCTAGGCAAATACGACCACAGAAATATGCTGTAAAGTTTCCCATTTGATCATAAAAACAAATCATTTCAACAAACATGGGTTAACCAAACGAGCCAGCAGGAAGCGAAATTCAATTAGTGTGCAATAAAAGCGCTGCTGGCACCATCATATCTCTTCCATACTCATTCATTGCCCCGACCCCAGCGCGAAACTAAGCAATCTAGTAGGCGAAACTGGCCTACACTCGAACACACTTCAACAAAGGCCTGCTCAGTTCGAAAGGACAGACTTCAGGTAATCATCATTTCACGTTGTCAGAGGAGAAAGGACTCTAAATTTTACAGTCTCCGGAATCCGGCAGAATATGCAAAGTAATTTCTTTCGTCATGATTTTCACCCCACTTGTTCGTTATTTATGTTATGACACGCCACATCGTGTGGTTTTTGGACTAGTTTTTGCTGCATGTTGTAGACGACCTCCGGGCACAGGAGGATGAGGAGACCATCGAAAAAGTGAACGGCCCCCAGATGCACACAGTAAACCACCCAGTTTTGGTCAGTGTGTAAAAGGATATCTTTGCATGGATGTAGGGTACCGTGGTCGTATAACTTTTTATCACCACTCTACTTTGAGGATGGTTCTTCATACGCTTCCTCTCGCTTTTATCGAAAACCGGTTGAGCTTTCGACCACAGTTGGCGTTGCTTGCGCTGGCACTGATAACGTATGTTCGAAATTCTAGTTAAGTGAACAGAAGAGCACTCAAATTTCAGCATATAGGTGCAGACGAGTAGTTCTAAGATGATTAAGCTTCTGAATGGTTGTGTCTCAATTTTAAATCACGGAGATTTTCACTATGAGTCGACAATTTTTATGATGTTTTGCAAACACAAGAAAGATTTTACACACTAAACTGGCGATGATGAACAACGATAAATTTATATTAATATTGAAGTAATGAAATTGGGTTGTTAGCGGAATGCTAAATAAAACAGCAAAAAAGGTTATCTTCCATTTAATTCCACTTAATTTTGGTATCCATGACAGATACGTATTTCGACTACAATGTGCAGTCTTCATCAGTGTCATTCCCACTAAAGAACTTATCAAAATCTAACCCCCTTAAGTACTCATCTCCTAGGTAAAAAATTCAAGATCATAGGTATAAAAATGAAACTACAATGTGTTGAATCGGAACCTACCTAACTAATAAAAACCAAAGATTTAAGTAAGCTAAAGGAGAAAAATCTATACAACTCTCTAATAAGGAAATTCCCCCAAAGGCTTGGCATAATGAAGTAATGAAATTGGGTTGTTAGCGGAATGCTAAATAAAACAGCAAAAAAGGTTAGATTTTGATAAGTTCTTTAGTGGGAATGACACTGATGAAGACTGCACATTGTAGTCGAAATACGTATCTGTCATGGATACCAAAATTAAGTGGAATTAAATGGAAGATAACCTTTTTTGCTGTTTTATATTAATAATTTTTAATATTTTCTGAACTTGTAGTTTATGTTTAATTCAAGCATTTTTAAGCCAGCACTGGTGCTCAACTAACAAAACCTAATAAATTGATTTATCAAATTGTTTACGCAAGTTTTAATTTAAAATAATTGTCATTAATCGTGCCGTATTTTCACTATTCACTCCTTCCACTGCACTATGAGCCTGGTATACAATCTTGCGGGACAACATTAATAAATCTGAATCGAAGCATTTCCGTGACTGTCATCAGCGATGTTACTTATTATAATAAGAACCATCTTTTGGTATAATCAGATAGTTCAAAGCTCATCCACATAAGTATATCCAAAATTCTAATTTTTACTTTAAAAATTTAGAGACTTGACGCCTTCAACTTGATGACAATCAACAACTCTTCTAAAGACGTCTCACAGCATACTTATATTCTTAAATAGTTTTAAAATCATTTGAAATTTTCAATACCATAGTCAGGTTTTAATGCCATTTTGGCGTTTTTGATTGGGCATGATTCTAGGAATTGGGCTAGTTGAGCGATCGTGAGGCCATTACCAATATCAACCTTTTCGAACCATTTTTGACGTAGGATTACGTCTTTCGGTAACATATTGGGGGTGCAATTTAAAAAAAACCAAAATCGACCGCGTTACGAAAAGTGGTCAGGTGTTGAACACTTATAACTCTGTCAATGGCGGATGGATTTTAATTCTAAACAAGCCAATCGATTGATAATTATTCTACAAGGCTGATAAAATTAATACTTTATCAATTTGCAATAGGTTACTATTGAAAATTACACAAATGTCGAACTGTTGCAATGGTGATCAAAATTATCACCGATTGCCTGCAACAAGTGGTTTCCCTAACTTAGTCGCCAAATATTTATACCGAGCACGTAATCCTACGTCAAATCTACGGTAGAGTCTTCGATACAACCTCTTACTTTTTATTTTTGAACATAATTTTTGTTTGAGTGCAATTTTGGCGTTTATGCCATTTCAATGCCTGCTTTTGAATTTTGGACAGTCATGCAGTTTGAAGGTTTTTTCGCGGTTTAAAGCCATTTTGGAATGTTCAAAGGCATTTTGTCCTTACAACAGCGCTGGGCTGGAAATGGTTTCAGGATCTCAGCAATGATATCATTTTAGCTCAATTGTATTCATCATTATGAATTTTAGCCCCAGAATGAAAAATGCATTTTAAGAAAGGTTGGCCATTCCTGCTATCTGTATTCAATATTAATGGGCCGCTAGCTTATGGATATTCTCAAAGTGGATCGCAAACGAAAAAAAAGTTTGAGAACTACTGCCCTAAACTGTTTAAATGTATTCGGAAGAGTAATTCTAAAGAACTTTAGTCTCAGAGTTACAAACCTTTATTAAAAGTCAAAACAGGTTTCAAGATATCAATTGTATGGCTGTTATGAACCTCATTTATCTAATGAAACAAAACTGTATTACTTTTCCAAATGCTCAGAAATGTAAGCATTTTTCCTCAACATTATCTGATCTAATCGAAATGCAGTGACCATATTTTATTCCAAACTGTTAACCAGATTTAACGCTCTTGGTCATGCTATTGAAAGATCTTTCAAACGCTTTACGCATAATCATATGAGTGTTGTGATTCTATCTAAATGAAAAGTTCGATCAATCTGATCATAGCCGTTCTAACGCTCCACCGAATGGCATACCCAATTAATACCAAATCAGGTATACTTACGTGCATGTAGTACGCATGCGGTAATAGAGCATCGTTCAATAAAACCATCCCGCTCAAGTCCTCAGATTTTAATACATACAGTCGACCAGAAAATTAGCCGGCGCCGGTGGTGTAGTGGTAAGCGTGACTGCTTTCTTACACCCCGATGGGTCTGGGTTCAATGCCAGCCGAGGTCGGTGGGATTTTTCTGAGGCATAAAAATCTCTGGTGTCACGTCTTCCTTCGGAAGGGAAGTAAAGCCGTTGGTCCCGGCCCATGTGTGTTGTGAATGGGTGCGATATCCTACGCAGGTGTGGAAGCTGCCTTCCTGCACATTCGGTTGCCGTCAATGGATGGCAATCGATGTCCGTCGGTGATTGGCACTAGATTGCGGAACAGAGACCGACGTTAAATAAAGGAAAGAAGAAAAAAAAAAAGAAGTCGACCAGAAAATGTACGATTAAGTATAAAGTATATACAGGATATGTTAGCAATCACCGTATATGCAGATCCTCTAATGTTATATTCGAAAGATATTCGAATAAATTACATAAAATTTTTGTTCACTAAGTGGATTTCCACCACTTCATTAGACACTTAAAAAATATATCTTATGAAGCTTATGTACAAAAATATTCACTAGCAAAAATTTTGCTTCCGATATACCACTTGAGTAAGTAAGGGCACAACGGAGATTAGCTACTAGCTACTGGGTGGGGTGGTCATAGAATATTATGGTTTGTCACTAAATTAAAACTGAGATTAACCAGCCGATGGCTGAAAGTATCTTTAATAAAGAATGATAAGATAAGATAACTAAATTAAAATAATAATTTGTAATCTAAGATGGTTTGAACTGATGTCTGATCGACATCCTTAACAAGAAACCTATTTCTGGTCATAGCCACATGCCCATTGCTTCGTCCAATAGTTGTTCGGGACCCTACGTTATGTTATCCTGGTAGCTCGTTGGCTAATGACGAAGAACACTCGATAGTCGGAGAAGAGACGATAAAAAAAAAATCCGGATTTACTACTCTTTAGGAAGCTGCCTCCTCGGAGATTTGATACTAAACTGTGTTTAATTCACGGAAAAAGTTGTGTCCTCCGAAATACTATCGTCCTTTTGTCGATCTCCACCAGTCGTCAAGTATCATTAACAACGTAAAAACGGACAGCCATCATATAAGTATAAACAGGTGATTTTCATTGCACATCTCACTCATTCGTTGACTCTGTAAAACCTGCCTTTCGAATGAGTCTATGCCGAAATTGAATTTTCCGATATTTAAAATGATTATTTGAACAATGCTTCCAATTCAAAAAACACATTTAAGCAGTTCCATGCAAAATAGGTAAATGACCAAATTTGAAATCAAATCAATTTTATCAAATTTTAAAATATATTCTCTAAAACTCGTCCTTAGACACCAGTTCGGTACAATCAATAGCTTTTAAGATAGGGTTTTTTCTCAAACGAAGTGCCCTTGAAAATACATACGCCCTTTTAAACTATGGCGTTTGAGTCCATATGGTCTAAATAGCTATTAATACGCTTCTTCTTCTTCTTCTTCTTCTTGTTCGCATTTCAAGCTTATTGCTTAGCGCATATTAGCTTATTGCGTGCTCTCAACTTAGTGTTCGAAATGCACTTCCACAGTTATTAATTGAGAGCTTTCGATGCCAATACCAATGCATGAATTTGTATATTATGTGGCAAGCACAATGATACTCTATGCCCAGGGAAGTCGAGAAAATTTCCAACCCGAAAGATTCCCTCGACCGGACCGGAAATCGAACCCGCCGCCTCCGGCTTGGAAATACCTTGCCTTTACTGACTAGGCTATGAGGCCCCACTCCCAGATTAATACGCCCTCCTGTTGAAAACATATACAAAGTTTCATTTAAATCGGAAAGATTCACGTCAGATTTTAGATTTTCCACGAAGATTTCGCATGGAACTACTCTTTTGTGAGTTATTAAATATCATATCAATACAGTGAACGTGAACAAATTGCAAACGGAACTTTTGGCTTTGTAATAAAATAAGCAAAGTCAATTGACAGTTTGCCCAACTTACAAATGTATATGTATGTTTGATAAACAATTGAAACTTGATAGCAAAAAAATATACGCAAAGTATCTTTTATGGAAAGTTTACAACCTCTTTCCATACATGTTTATCACATTTGTGCAGTCTCACCGACAAAATACTCCAGTGAGAAAACTTCGTCCACCCACAGAATTGAGCTACCATCATCTCGTTTCACCTTTTCTCTCAAAGAAACCAGCAGCAGCACTGCCAACAAGAACAACAACAACAACAGCAGCAGCACATACCAAGTCTTGCCGCAACGTCTACGCTGTCCTCACCGTAGTCATTCTTCCCATCTGCCCGGCAGTGATCTTCTTCTTATCCTTCTCACACCGTACAAAACACACCGTACACGGGGCTCTATACATCAGCAAACACACAGCAAGGCGGGTGTGGTCTGACCGGATCTATAGCTATGTTGGGGAAAATTTCGCCAGATGCAATCACATGGCTTTTCGCTCCGGGTCTGGCGAACAACAGCACCAGCAGCTATTTGAAATTTGCATGTGTGCGCGAGGAGACGAACGAGGACCTGGGGAGGACACACTCGAAAACTAGTGCAAATCACGCCAACGACCAATGTGATAAGGAAACAAACAAGACTTTTCAGCTTATTACATTCCGGTGATCCAATGAAGGCGGCACTCACGTAAAGGGATTTCATTCATAACACTCTCATTCACTGCGTAGCTCTTGTTGGTTGAAGACCAACCTTGATTAAACATCAATCGATAAATGTGACATTTCCTTTTGTCACTGCAGATTTTTCTCGTACGTCATGAATAAACCGAAAGTATCTTCCAGCGAAAATCCCTTGTGGACTGATGACGGAAAGAGCACATCCTAATGGCACAGCATCGAGCTGAACACTCCACTTGATCCCAAACTCATTTGAATAATTCCAACTCGGGAAAATTTCATCCAAACGGGACGATTTTCACTGTAATTCCACCCTGATTTTACATACATGGATTCCTGCCTTTCTTGCTCACACAGCTGTACACACTCGTTTAGCAAACGAACCGAAAAGAGTGCTGCTCCTTTCTCTTTCTCACCGTCAGCGAAGCTCACACTGCCCTCGCAGAAGAAGGCTCTAAATTATTCATGGAGATTTTTCCTACAAATTTTCACCAAACTTCCACTCCTGTTCCAGCCAGAGCCACTTCACTAATAGCACTTGAAAACTTTCTTCCAACTATCGTTAATTCACTACGCCTCGGTTATTCCACGAACTCATACTCCATGGAAAGTTTTGTACTATGCTGAAGATTCGGGCCGCTCTGCAGCAAATCCATCCATCAGCACTCGGAAGGCGAGTGTGTCAAACGGGAACCAGACCACGGCCGTCGCGGCGAGATGTGCTAAAAATGGTCCTGGAAAATCGTCCCGTATTGTGTGTATCGCAATTGCTGCTTTTGCTTGCTACTGCTGGGTGGAACAAGTCCAGGCGAAACTCAGTAGGCGAAATCACTCTCCCGCCGTTCATCCTCTCTCCATCTCTCATCAAGTGCCATTCGCACACAAATGCACATCCAATTTTCGCCCGCTCTCACTCTCGCGGGTAGGTTTTTCCTCGTGTGTCTCCTTTCACACACCGAGCACCCCCGGGAAAGCCAACCTATTCTGGTTAATGTATTATTCAACGCTCCCTGTTATTATCTGAACCTAAACATACCCCACCACACGCCAAATGGAAGTGCATATAGGGCACAGAAGCTGCTGTTCCAAGTAACTTTCGTCATCATTACCATCGGTGCGTCGCCGATGGGAGGCAATTATGTGCATCAGCGGTGCATGTTGAAATTTTTATGGAGTCGCTTGGTACATTACTGAGTGGTGTCTGGTAAGCAATTTACTCTGGTGCTTTGTACAAATTTTGAAAACGTTATAAAGTGGCACGTGGAATTGTGTATATTACGCAAGAAAAAATCCGTGTGCTAGTTGTTTACACCTGTAGTAGAGAACCTACCTTGTTATAAATAAACAAGGAAAACCAATAAATGGCTACAAAGAAGGACAATTATGCCACGGATACACTTGTTTGACCAATATTGAGCATGAGCATTATTTGAATACTCAATTATGAGCACATCCATCGTCACACTAGTATAGTTTTTGGATTCGCTCATAATTTATTATACAAATAATGCTCATGCTCATAGTATGTCATTCAAGTGTCATTCGCGGCAAACCCAAGGAACTTCAATAGGTTCTCATGAACTTTTAAAATGTGCAAAATATCTAGAGATTCTTGCATCTGTATTAACTCCCAAATCGTCTGGAACTGCAGTGGTTCAAATAGTTTTAAACAGTCGAAACCTGAATCACTTCTGCAACGTATAAGAGATTTCGAGCAATAGTACTCTGAAATACTGTGAACCGTTGTTATCTTCAGTTCCCAGAATCACTGGTGTTTTCTAAAGTACCTGAAGTTCCAGAAGTGTCATGATTCGCAGTAAAAGCTGGTCCTCGAGAGTCTAGAAGATCCGGAACATACGTAAAAATGTTTAATTTATTAAATCAACCTGAGGGCCTCAAGATTTATCACTTGTAGTTTATAAGAATTAAATTGGGAGTCATAATACGGTGCATCCGAAGATCTAGAACAACCTTAAAATTGGAAAATTAATCAAACTGATCCTAGAATAGAGACCCTGATAGTTTTATTACAACTCGTAGTTGTAATAAACAGGGTGGCCTGAGTTTAAGAAAATAAATTCCCACTTTTCTTGTTTTTTTTTCGGGGAGCCCAACTTATTTTTCGCGGTTTCAAATAAATAGCTAAATATGGTTAAAGAAGGAATACCTATGAAAATTAACCTTATTAATGCATTCGGAAGTTACATATTGTGCATTAGCTGGTCAAAAAAGACCCAAACTGTAACTTGATCCCAAAAATCCATTTTTGAACCGATTCTTCATACCTCAAATGAAAGAATGGCAAATTTCCCAGGACTTCTTTAATCTGGCCATTTAGGCTATTTAGGCTACCAAAAATGACAATTCCAAATCCTTATATACTGGTACCGTCCGACGGCTCAAAATTGATGATATATCGTACCATGAACCAACAAGTGGATCCGCCGACTCAAGTGTATGTCTGTTTTTGTGGTTCCGGGTATGCAGACGTGACTAGATCCACATTTCGTTTTTTTCCGAATGTTGAGAAAAGTGAGGAAATTTTAGGTCTGTATCATATTTCGTTAAAAAGTAACAGCTTTTTTAAAGTGAAGCCAGATCAATAAAAACCCTAATGCACTAGCAAGGTTAAGATAACTTTATTTTTTTCCTTGATTTGTTTTCCGTCGATCTTGTTTTATGTGCTGAGCACCAATGCTACCGATGCCAGGGAGGCAGCTCCCACACCTGGACCCTTACCTATCGACCCATCAACTAATGAACCGGGAACCAACGGCGTGATCAGAGATGTTATGCCTCAGAACATCCCAGCGGCGCCGACTGGGATTGAACCCAGGCCTGCTGGGGTGAGAGGTAATCACGCTACACTACACCACCGGTGGCGCTTAAGATAACTTTATGAAGCTCGATATTTTAAATATTAAGTTACATGTAATGTTTTGGAAGAACACAAGTCAAACTGATAGATTGAGTTTGAACATTCTTTTAAAAAAACAATCATTTGAATTCTAAATTTGAGCCTTAAGGTTCAATTTACTTTGATGTATTTTCGAAAAATTCAAATGCAGTTTTTTTCGACGCATCATTTCAGATCGCAAAAAGCTTGCGTCATTCTACTCATTTTGCTATTATACACAAAATGACGAGAGCTTTCTGCTATCTAAAATAATGCGTCGAAAAAAACTGCATTTGAATTTTTTGAAAATGCATCAAAGTAAATTGAAGCTTAATAAATAATTTACTGCCGACTCTCCACAACGCGATGTTCTATATTTCGGTATATTCTATAATTCGATAGATTTATTGGTTCCTTCATTTTTTTTTCCGTTCTGTATAAGTCAATATTTCCACAAGTCGATGTCTCCTTTTCTCGATGTTCTATGTATGTAGTGTTGTTTTGATTCTATAACTCGATATGTCAAAGGCACAGCTTTTAAATTCTGGGATTTTGATCTTAAATTAAAAGGAATTTTAATAACATAATAAATGATGCCTAGTACCCAGAACGTATCGCCTACATGACAACATGATTTTGGTGCCTTTAATGTATGCCAAAATCTATCAAGATACGGTTTTCTTAAGTTTCTCTAGAAAGGTTTCATTTGCTACCAGAGAAATGATCAAAAACAGATTAGAAACAATACCCGTTATGCGATAAATCAAATGTCATAAGATTTGAATGATTCGTTCATTTGTGATTATCACCAGTTTTGAGCGGACGGATCGCAATCCAGGAAAGGTGTCGATATCGGAATGTCTGGAAAGGGCATCACTATCAGCAACAGCTTTCCGCCGCAATGCTCGGTTTTCTCCGCCGAAGCCGCCGCAGTTTTCCACACCGTCACGACACCGGCTGACAAACCGATACTGGTGTTAACGGATTCGTATAGCGTAGTTCAGGCCCTCACATTCGAAGTACCGGCGAACCTTTGGATTCAGGCCACGATAAAACAAGCCCTACCAAGTACGGTGTACACCTGGATTCCTGGACATTACGGTGTACCAGGGAACGAAGCCGCTGATCACCTGGCTAGTTCCGGACCATCGAAGCCTAGGTTCGCAAAACAAGTACCATTGCAGGACAACCAGCGCTGGATCAAGCAGACCATGCGAGTGGCATGGGAAGCCGAGTAGTTCTGGGACAGAACGCTGTTCATACGAAAAATCAAAGGCACAACCAGGGGGCCCATGGAACCTGCGAGAACAGCGAGTTTTTTCAAGACACCGGACCGGGCATCAGTATTGGGAAAATATCAAAAGATCAAATCTCACCAATGAACATAATCTCATTTGATTATCGTTGAATTAAAACAACAAGCAAAAAACCCTACGGCAAACTTGACTATATGACCAAATACAATCCTGCAAGTACGCCAAATGATCACGCACGACTGAAAAGTTCTTAAATGATGATCAATCAATCAATGAATCATTCAAGGAGATTTTTGAGGAGAGCTGCAAGGAAATTTGGATAATAATTCCATGGAAATTGTATTCATAAAATAGCTCAAACATTTATTTGTAGAAGCTCAGTATTATATTTTAAACAATCGTTCAAAAGAATACTTTTATCATTTTTTCCTCGATCGGTACTGATCAATTCAATCATTTCCAGATCATGCTATTATTTTTAGAGTTCTGGAAAATATTTATCACATGAAACATGAAAAAATACATGATTTTCTGAATGATTTTTCTAAAAATTGCGCAAGTGAACGCAAAATGTCATCAATTATTGAATAGACTTTTATTCCTCAAAATAACTCAGAGGTAGATTGAGAAATATTTTTGATGTTTAGATTTGAATCAAACAACATATTTTATTTAAACAAATACAGCTCATATTATTATTTTTCGTTCATGAAGGTAGATCATGTTTGATTAGTTCTTTCGATATATAGGTCCCCAAAAACTGTGCAAAATTTGAATTAATTTGGATATGATCTGCATTTGTGGGTGATCTTTTAAATTTTAAAAACGAATCTAAACTATTCATATGCTTGTCAAAAACTCAAAAATTGTTACAATTTGGGTCAAACCTAAAACTAAAATATGACAAACTATGCAGAACAACTTTGTCGAAGAACGCAAATCGATTAGATATCTGCACTAAATCTTGAACAACGTTGTTCTGCATAGCTTCCCCCAATAGAAATCCCAAGTTTGATTAAAATTGAGCATTTTTTTTCAATTTTGGAAAGCAACAGAATAGTTTTGCTGTATTTGCTTAAATAAAATATGTCGTTAGAGTCAAACTTAAATACCGTAAAACGGGGTTTCTTTGATAATGCGGGTTACTTTGATAATAGAATACTCTCTGCGCCTTTTCTGAATTGGTATCATTGGTTCCATATAGTAATTTAGGGCATTTCCGTCGATATGGAATATAGTTTTTATGTAGTAAGGAAAATGAAGGCTTCGGCAGACTATTTTCGGCAACCCAAATTGAATCGCTAATTTCATTAGATTTTCTCACGTAAACACTTCCCTGAATGCATTCAAACGATTATTTAGGCTTTCAGTTTCAATTTGATTATATTTTTACCACTGAGAAAAAGCAATCTAGCAGGGTTTTCTTGAAATGAAACACACGCACTACAAAATGCTGATTTCAAGTTGCCGATGAAAGCACAGCTGCTTAACACGCAGCTCAAATAGAAAAGTTGCCCAATAAAAAAATGTTGCACACAATAGTC